ATAGGGGATGAGCTGGTTCAGCTTTAATCGCCATCCCTGAAAAACTTTCAGGAAATTTGACTTAACGGATAGGGGATGAGCTGGTTCAGCTTTAATCGCCATCCCTGAAAAACGTTCAGGACATTTGACTTAACGGATAGGGGATGTGCTGGTTCAGCTTTAATCGCCATCCCTGAAGGATTTTCAGAACACTTGACGTAACGGATAGGGGATGTGCTGGTTCAGCTTTAATCGCCATCCCTGAAAGACTTTCAGGACATTTTGACTTAACGGATAGGGGATGAGCTGGTTCAGCTTTAATCGCCATCCCTGAACGACTTCCAAAACACTTGAGTCAACGGATAGGGGATGAGCTGGTTCAGCTTTAATCGCCATCCCTGAAGAACTGAGAGACGTTTTTTTTTTGTTAGTTTCGTACTCACATACCAATCAGGGATGAACCAAGGCAGCTATGACACTGGCAGCGTATTCGGTCCTTTTCTTTCAGCGCCCGCGATATTAAAAGCGTAACGAAAAAGAAGCGTAGCGAAAAAGAATCGCAAGTTCCAAACTTACAAATAAAAGAAAAAAAAACAAACCGGTAATAGCACGACAATTCGGGACATCTCGCTGGTTCCTTGCCATAGCCCAGTTCTACACAAATTGCTGTACTTCTATCCAGTAAAGAGGAAACAATAAATCCAGGAAACTAAACACCATTCCCCCCGAAGGTCCTGATTACTTTTCTAAATTTACTTTCAACGAATCCTGGATTGACTGAGTCATACCCCGCCTAAGGAAACTCGATACAACTCTCAAGTTTCTCTCTTGCAAACGCATCATTCTAGGGTGAAAAATTACAAATGAGCCTTTTTCTTCGCCTCTCTGTCTGTCCGTTTGTACTTTTGTCCGTCTATCTGGCAGCCCGTCCGTCCAATGTCTGCCCATATAAATTTGTGTTAAAGCTCTAGGTCGCAATACGACCGATTTTGATTTATCTATAAATTCATTGATATTTCGCCAGCGTATATAACCTTTGTCAATAAGTTCCTGGACAGATGTCGGTACATCGGAGAAATTAGAATCCTAAAAAAAAAAAAAAAATTAAAATAAGTACAAATTTTTTCATTTTCACATTTTGTTTCATCTCCGTACCAGTGTCAAAAGAAGTATTTAGGATGGCAATGCTTTTCAATTCTGCTATTTTTTTTTAATAACTATGTGTTTTCACATATGCAATGAAAGCTGATAATGGTTTCTGCAAATTAACAGAAATTTTGCAGACGTGCATTTCTTTCTCTCTTTCATGCAATCGGTCATTTCAATTCTGACCGCGGATAAAATAAGATCGTCAAATAAGAAGTAAAAAAGGTTTTTTTTAATATTTAAAATTTTTTCAAAAATTGAGTGAATAGGCTTTATTAAAGTCTTAGGAATGGAAGACGTGACGAATTCTCTCAACAATTGAAAGATATGTGTCATAAAAACACAAAATGAAAAAACGTATGATTGGAAAGTGAGCTAGCTGGTTTGCTGGGCGAATATTCGCGCGTATAAATGTCCATTTTAACTATTACTAATGTAAGTTTTCATATGCCGCATCTACTAAAGAAATTGAATAATTAAATGAAAACTATCTTTCAGCCATGGTATGATAAGATGTAATAAGTAAGGAATGGTCAATCACGCTTTTCGAGTCTGAAACGCAACGCATTATCAAAACAACTGCAACAAGATTAAGTTTTTTTTTTTTTTTGCTTGAAGTGATTGAAATATAATATATAATCTTGTTTACATAAATGAAAAAAAAATAAGCATATGTCTCCCCTTTTACGTCTCCTGAATAGTTTTATACAATTTTTATAGACCTGGCGTTTGATTTTGCCCTATTTTGAAAAATGTTCTCCTAATTCTTACCATATATTCGTACAAGTGCTTGAAGTGCTTGAAATATAATATATAATCTTGCATATATAAATGTATAAAAAATAAGCATTTATCTCCCCTTGTACGTCTCCTGAATAGTTTTATACAATTTTTATAGACCTGGCAATCCCAACAAAACGAAAGCTAGTACAGAAAGTAGTTTTGTGAATTCACGCAGTATTCCTACCAATAGTGGACAGTTTCAGTGCAGACGATTGCCTAACGCAGCTTCTATTTGTAATTACATAATAAAAGCAATAAAATGCATGTACCATCCCCGCAACTAGCTGTAATTTTATCCGTCGGCAGAAGTAAGTATAAATGAAATGACAATGAGTTAAATAAATCCAGCTTTAAACATCCGTTCTTTTAGCTACAAATTCTGTCAACCAACCGAACGATTATTTTCATAATCGCATTATTATAATAACATAATTTGTCAAATAGCAAAATAAGCTAATTTAGAAAAGTCTCCACCAAGCAATCACGATAATCTATTAGAAACGTTTCCACATATCATATAATATTATCGCTACACGCGAAATAAACTTAGAAATCATATTTTTGAATATTTCTTGATGTAGTTACTCATGTAGCTTAAGTTTAAATCCTTATTTGCATAAAATAAATTCATATTGACAAAACGTCAATTTTCATGAGAATGCAATTTTCAAAGAGCTTACAGTGTTTATATGCATCACCGTAGAATCAGGGGTATGACCAAAAATTTCTTGTTGTTTTCGTTTTTATTAAGTAAATATGATATTTTAACAATTTTCAGTTTAATTCGACCCGACGAATTTTATTATTTCTTCTGTAAACCTTAAAAAAATACTTGTTTTCCGAAATTTTTTATAAGGCATTTGGTAATAGGTTTCTTGACCGAATTATGAAAGAAGATTGAAGTGAGACACAGAATAGCGCAATAGATTTTTTTACAAAAAAAAATTAAATAAAAAAATAATGGAAATGGTTTCAATTGTTCAATGTACAAACAAATTAATTAACAAAATTAGTTAATTACAGAGTGTGAGAAAAGAATTCTAAATTAACGCCAATCCTGTTCTAAAGAGGGACGTGGAAATAAAAGAAGTGGAAGAAGGTTTTTTTTTTTAATAGTAACTAATTATAATAAATATGTTAGAAGTTATTTTTCAATTATAATAAATGGACTTACCGCAGTTAAAGGGTAAGTTCTGTTGAAAACTATTGTAGTTATATGAGTGGATTAATAGGCTTTTCTGTGTTTTTTGAATGCTCCCCTTCGGAATTTGAATGGATCTGAAAAAAAAGAAAAAAGCAATAAGTAATAAACAATAAATCGAAATAAATTCACTTCACTAAGAAAAGTGTAAAAATAATCGATTGAATGGCTTAAATTTGCTGTTCTATGAATATTAATAACTATTTAGGGTATATATATTTCTTTTCTTCTTTTAAATCGAAAATTTCAATCGATAGCTCTAACAATAATGTATATTATTTCTGATTGTGAAATATTTGCGATTTTTTTTAAAAGATTTTTCTTATTTTGCAAACTTCAACTTTTCTTATTTGTTTTAAATACACGAAATGTATGCACTTTCCTTCAAGTATTTCACTTGGTTTGTATTGTTTTCTCAATTTTTCAGAATTTCTTATTGGTTTTAAATAAACGCAATATACGCACTTTCCTTCAATTAATTCACTTGGATTGTATTGTTTTCTCAATTTTTCAAAATTTCTTATTGGTTTTAAATTTTTCTTGTTAAGTCTTCTCAATTTTTCAGAATTTCTTTTGGGTTTGCTTGTTTTTTTTTTTTTTCTTTAACAGAAGAAATGTCTAGAATAACAGTTCTCCTAACCTCAAAACAAGATTTGAATTATCTAAATTTTCGCACGCACAGAGTCGTGTTTAAGGATTTGCATTATCTAATTTTTCGCACGCACAGAGTCGTATTTAAGGATTTCAATTTTGTTTTTGCATGATTTCCTTTTTTTTAACGAATGATAACCTTTGAATAATACCCGAAAATTAGAAATCGTGGATCAGTTGCGCCAGCTACGGCGTAATTTCATGAAAGTGATGATGATATTGAGAATAATTTACTTTATATAAAAAACAAAGTTATTTCTAAAAAGCGAAACATGCTGTGTGAAAAAAAAGCTTACAATACATCTTTAACAAGCAGGAAAGAAGAAATAATGTACGATTATCGCAGTGGTAGCAGCAAATTGTCAGCAGCTGCATGTCAACAGACCGATGATACATTGTTGGCTTTTAATGATGAATCGAAACAAATCGGGCATGCGACTTTAAATGTTCCAATGCTGTTTGTAAAAAGCGCTTGTTGTCATTAAATCCAAAATTTAATTTTAGGCAATCCAATGAACTCTGTGAGACACCCAATAGAAATTCACTACAAACCAAGACCACGACACCAGAATTAGGGGAGTTTGTTAAAAATGCTGTTGAAACAAGTACACCATGCATCAATAGGAAATTGCCCCTTCAGGAAATGGAAAAAGATCCCGATACAGTGTTAATGGTAAACCCACAAAAGAAGTGGCGGCTATCGGGCTTAAGACGTACTCGTACCAGTTCAAGAAATAAATACTACTTTATATAACCCTTCGCCTAGTTGGAGCTTATACCAACAAACACGTTTTCAACCGATTTGTCATTGGGAAAATCGAACTCTTTTCTGTTGTTGTATATCAATTTATATAATTTATATTTAAATATAAATAAAGTAAATAGCTTTGTTTATATAATAGATTTATTATACATTTAAAATACTTTATTAATATATATAAAAATATATATATATAAAAAGGAATTGTTATTCTTTTTCATGGTGGCAAAGGAAACAAAGATGGCAGATTTTCGCCTGGACGTATATTATCAATGTGCTTTATGTCCTGGAAATTTAATCAGTCTTCTGCTTTAACCAGACATTTAAAGAAGCATACGAAGAGGTAAGAAGAACCAGCTGTACGTTTAGCAAATCTATAATCCAACAGATTGGATTGGACTGATGCGGCTGAGTATGTTATACCTTTGGAAAATGCGTTTGTTTATTAACAGCTGTTGCATGTCTAAAAATTCCGTCCATTAGAGAATAAGCGTATATGTTTGCTTACACTTCTCAATAATTAAACATGTGTTTGTTTAAAATTTGGGCACTTTAGAGAGTAAGCGTATAAAATTCATGCCCTTCGAGTGCCGTAACAGATCGGTCCAGCAGTAGGAATTTAACTGCCAGCTTCATTTTAGGAGAAATTAATATTGACGTTTTTAAGGTGTGAATATATAGACGATTCAATTTTTTTTTTTTTTTTATTCTTCTCTTTCTAATATTTAATGTATTTTAGACTAGCGTTTGCGGTGCTTGAGTTGTGGTGCAATTACTACCTCTTCCAGAAAAATGCAATGGAACATGAAGATTAACAAAGCACTATGGGCCTTCCATTTACAATTTAAGCATTTTTTAAGCATTTTTTTAGTCTGCTTTGAATTTACTTATATACATATTGATGATCAAGTTTGAATCCTTTGTCCAATTTCGGTGATTCGCTCTTAACCTGCATGACAAAACCAATTAAAATTAAAATAAGGTACGAACAGTGCCCTTAACGATCTCACGAATCAAGTCCCTCTGTGAGGCCCGGTGTCTGCACTGTACGCTGTTTGTTGTTCCTAGTCAGTCAGTGCACATTCTTTGTCCATTTACACTCACTCACGCTTTAATACAAATCACTCAAAATGGACTGAGCTAGTCCAACGTGCTTAAATAAGTGGGGTTTTATTAAGAAAAAATTGATTGCTCTGGCTAGAATTATTGCATAAACAATAATAATACTAAAGCAAATGTGAAGGCCGTGAATGACACTTACAAGCTATGAGACCTCATTCGTGTAAGTCTTAACCAACCAAAAATTCATTAGATGGCGTATCTGTTATCTGTTGGCTCAATTGAAGCTACGTAAAAAACTCAAACGTGGTTCAAGTTTGGTTGAAATCAAATATTACCAGAAAATGTAATTTAAAATGTTATATTGCGTTCGTTATAACTTGAGTGGTTGAGAAAATGAAGATCCGGCTTAAGCCAAGTTCCAATAAATGGCAAATGAACTTCGTGGAAGTGAAAGTGGAGGTATGTATAACGAGGGATTGAGAAAGCTACACTGAATTTGGTGCCAATTAACAGCCTGAATTTGGTGCCAATTGGTAGTCTGTATTTGGTGACAACTGAGAGTCCGAATTTGATGCCAATTGAGAATTGCGCTTATCGCAAATTTTCATTCCCTTGCCACTTCGTTTCTTAAGGGCATTGCACTTTGCTATTATTTTTAATAGCGACGGCAACCACGGAATCGGAAACAATCAGGAAACCACTAAAAGCATTAAAAAGATTAACATTAATTTTTATATATATGTAAATTTTTATATATATTAATAAAGCTATTTTAAGTATATAATAAAACTATTATATAAATAAAGCTATTTATATTTAAATATAAATTATGTAAATTAATATGAAAGGTCAGTTTGACTTTTCCAATGACAAATCCAATCGGTTGAAAACGTGTTTGTTGCTATAAGCTCCAACTAGGCGAAGGGTTATATAAAGTAGTATTTATTTCTTTGAACTGGTACGAGTACGTCTTAAGCCCGATAGCCGCCACTCATCTTTTTCCATTTCCTGAATTGGTAATTTTTTGTTTTCAACTGTTTACAAGTGTTTAAGACTGTTTAGGACTTATAAGATAGCTACCTACGGCTGGTAATTTTCTAGCACATCACGAAGAAAGTTTTCCATTTTCAGCAATAATATACGTCCAGGGCAAAAAGAATAACAATTTTTTTTATATGTATACATATATTTTTTTGTTCTTATATTTTTTTTACGTATTTTTATCTCAAAAAGGACAAATTAATAACTGCATTCTTATGTGGAATGAAAAAGCTATAACAATATAAGTATTTGAATAGCAAAAAGATACAAGAAGCCTTTTTTTAACCAAGGATAAGAAAAACACAGCCAAATGTCATCAATTAAATAAAATGTGAAAGAATAGCAAAACTTTTTTAAACTTGCATGGAGTTGAAGAGCCTTGAAGCATATGTGTACATAGGTATTTTTATATGTTAAGTAAATATAATAGATAAAATATAATAAAATAATTATTTCTCGCTTCTTTAGTATATATTATCCGGCCAATTAGTATTTATAGCGATAGATGGCCACACCAGCAACGCCAATGAGTTCAATAAGAAAAAAGCATAAGAAATAAAGACAAACATTTGGACTCTTCTTCGGTAAATATACAGAAATATCGTTCTGTAAGTTAAGAGATGTATATAAAAGAAGTTGCAAAAGCTGCCGATCGACAAGCCTTCTACTGCTATATTTTGTCCAACCATAAGGTAGCAAAAAAGTGAACCACAACGAACACTAAATTCATTTAAACGTTGAAGTATTTGAGCGTTATCGTTTGAAAGAAGACAATGGGAAAAGTTTAATAACTGATTTGTACAAAATTCTAAGGCTGCATCAATAATTGGTAGATAATGTTTTGATTCTTTCTTTAGGCGTTCCATTAACGCGCTATTGGACAACTCATCTCGATTTACAAATAGAGAAAATGCTCCGAAAACTAGTTCCGCAAGAAGTTCAATATTATTTTCGCTTACGCCACTTGAACACACGATAATGGTAATACTGCCGTTGAAATCCTTCCAAAGATAAGTCCAACTTTCCGCGTAAGTAGTGTAAAGAGACATGCCCAACGATTTAAAAAACAAAGGAGATCCATTTAGGTAAGCTAAAGTAGAAAAAGCCAACTGTGATCATGCGTGATAATCCAAAGTAATAAAGCAAACTGTAAAGATTTCACATTGTTACATTCGCCCTTTTTAAGGGTGAGAATGGGCAGACCACCGTTATTCGTTAGACATATCAAATAAATAGACATTTTCAAATAGTTGTTGTTCCTTACATCAATTTAAAATTTATTGTTGCAACTCAACTAGTTTCCAGCGCAAATAGAATTAACCACAGAAATCGTATTATTGGAAATCGAAATCATTTCCAGTTATCGATTATTTTAAACGATTGAAAAACATAAGGGTGTAATGCGAAATTACATTCATTCTGTTTTTTGTACTAACACTAAAAGACACCTCAACAAATGAACTTCGGAAAAATCTTCGGACATTTGGCGTCGAAGTTGTAGGTTTTCAAGCTATTTTCATGTAAATGAATGCGAAAAGTACAGAAAGTGACTATACAAACTTGATTTCATTGAAAACTTATGTATACACTTGATCTAAAGTTCCAAGTTACCTAAATGTAATAGTTTTCTTTCTGCTTTTCTATCTCTCACTCTGGAGATAATTCTATAAATATAGTTTATAAAGCACATTTGGTGACATTTGGTCTATATATATAATTAATAAATACACGCTATGTGCATTATTATTATATTTGATGGCATTAACTTTCTTGAACATGGTATTCAGAATATGAAACAAGCAATGGTGACATTCTATATGCTTTGTCTCGCCGATTTTGATAACTATGACTCCCTTTACTCACACTTTGCTCGTTAAGACTTTTTGTTTTACGTTTGCGAACACTTTTAGTAACAGAATTAACTTATTCTGTTTTAACGGGCTTGCAAGGTAACATTTTCTTCTATTTGGTATGTTCAGTGTAGCTGCTGATTACACTAAAATGTATTTTTTGAAATTTACCAATTTATACAGCTTTGAGACTTAACATATATTGTCTCATTTCTCTTATCTATGCATTAAGTTATAGAAACATAAGAAAAAAAGTTTTGTTTAGTTGTTTAGAAAAATTTTTTACACTCTATATAGACAAGTATTTATTTAATTATTCTTGTAAGCTTTAACGTAAATACGTGAACATACCGTTAGCGTTTTGTCCTAATTTCTTGTCATAATAAACATGCAGTGGATTTTATTGATTTTTAAATATTAGCTACTAATAAACCTTATGACGCATAATATCTATCTTAATGTGCTTTATCAAATCTTTTTGAAATTAATTGTTGTACTATAATCAAATCAAATAGTGAGAAAAAGTTTATTTAATAAATTTCATGTTTTCTGTTAACAAACATTAGTGCATGCTTTTTAAGAAGTGACTTTGTCTAACAGCTAATAAACATTTCTGTTTATAAACATATAATCGTGCGTATACTCTCATTAGTACCATTAGTCCCGCTAATTGAGAGAACAGTGATAGTAATCGAGAGCACAAAATATTGAAAATAAAACAAGATAGTTTTATTGGCTTTATGTACATCACAAACGCCTTTTGAACAGTTACTTAATTTTCCATCCTTACTGAATTATTTATATCTAATTTTTATTAAAATTATGCAGAAACTTAAACGTATGGTAGACCGTATGAGACGCTTTCAAGTATTGAACTCGCAGATTTTCGCTGTACTGAACAAAAGGTCTGAAAGGTAGTGATTTTGAAGATCCAATGTGGAGCAAGTACGGCGCTTCTCACCACCGCACTATCCCTCTATTAAAAAAACGAATGCATTGCTTTTTATATTTTAATATTATTTGATATTTATAATAAACATAATTTGTTATTAAACAAATCCATTCAATGCAATCTTAAATATTTGAAATTATTCGATTTCTTTTTGATACACGCAACAAACGCCTCTTAGATATTATTAATTTATTGATTATTCTAGAAATAAGCGACAATTTTTTAGATAATTGTTGGTCGACTTTGTTTAAATTATAAACCAAACACATTGAAATCTATATACGGAAAGCCAGGTTCTTGTGGTTTAATAAGCACTGCCGTCTTAGTTTATAAATGGTTTTTTTCACATTTCATTCGTTAAATTTTCAGCTTTGGTTGTGTGTTCCGCCATTTTTTCAAAGTGTTTAGAAGGGTTTAAGACTGTTTAAGGCAGTTTAAGATTGTTTAATAAGGTTTTATACGGCTTCTATGTTGAATTCCACTATTTTTTCAAAAGCTTTGTTATAAAACAATATACTCTTCGTTAAAAGCTTTGTAGATAATATAAAAAATAATTATTTAGTAGATTTATGTAAGTAGTGTAAATAATTTTATATAAATATTACGGACGAAATTCATAAAGAGTGGAAATAAAATGAAAATTCGTAAAACGATTTTATGTTTTAATAAGAGGGAATAATATTGGAATATTAATAAAAAATAATTTGTTTGAAAAATACAAAATTTTGCCTATTTTATTTTAATGAAAGTTTTATTTCCTCCATATTGTTATGTTTTCACAAACTCTACAGCATATGTGCGCTTTTTCTCTCCCTCTCTCTCATTTCTTGACCTTATATAACAAGCAAAGTATATATATATTAAACACTTAACATACATTGACCGAAAGCGTTGAAGCTCAAAATAACACTGTTTTCGGATTTTTAGTATGTGTTTTAATCAATAATTTTTAAATTACTAAAAAAAAAAAAATAATAAAATCAAAATAAAAAAGAAGGAATTAAAAAAAAAATTAGAAAAAAAAATATTTGCATATAAATCTAAAATTTTAAATATTACATACACAATTGTAAACAAATACAGAGTAACTTTTTATACGCTTAGTCTCAGATGCTTCCAAACTTATACGCTTAGTCTCAGATGCTTCCAAACTTATACGCTTAGTCTCAGATGCCTTTCTCCTGGCAAATACGAAATAGGACGCTCTTATTTCTGTGCAGAAAACTCAGTGAAAATTTCTAAAATTAAATAAGGAAAAAAAATCTTTTTCTCTCATAAACTCGAAAACTACTGAGCTCGTCAAAGGCATACAAACTCGATTTGCGATATTTGGACAAAGTCGACAACAATCTCAACATCTTTGCGCTTCTGCGCAGTGTAAGCAGCGATACCGGCTTCACTAATCTTAATTTTGCGGCAATCACAAATCAACAAAAGTCTCAGTATCTTTGTGCTCCCACGTAGGAGCGCAGCACCATCTGCTGTATACAACATCATCCCAACAAAACCGACTCTGTTATCCCACCACTACACTGACATCAAGTGGAGGCGATCTTAGCTGAATTTCCAAACGTTTTAGTTTACCAGGCTTTTCGTATCCCCTGTTCCTGTCAGCTTGAACAGTACCTGCTAATTTGCATGTCAGTTTTGTTTCACGGTATGTCAGTTGATTTTTTTTCCTTTGCCTACAATGTAGCACGAAATTTAAAAATCGCCCGCCCCATAGAGGGTGAGACAAACAAAAATGTGTTCCAATGATGAAGATTTCGAAAATTTTGTTCGAACTACACAAAGTGGAGTTTCTTCCAAAAGAAAAATGTCAAAACAAAAAATAATTTGAAAAAAATTATTATTGATAAGGAAATTTCACTCTTAAAAGACCTGTCTGTGGATTGCAATACTACCCCACCTAACTCTCTGATCCCTCTTTCTACCAGCAATCTCTCCTTTCCGAATAAAAGCGAGGCTGCGCATAGCAATAAACACATAGTCCGATGACAGAAAAGAACTCTCACCCTTCAAGTCAAAATCTTTACGGTGATGGCGTGACTGGTGAGTCCTACGTCTTCATTGAAGCTAATCCCAACAACTCAGACAAGCCTTTTGTCTCAGCTCTGACTTATTCTTCTTTGAACATATCAAAGACTTCAAACTGGATGGATTGACTAATATAAAAATCATCAGCCATTGCACTGTAGCTGACGCAAACAATTTCATTTTAAAAAGCGACTTCCACTCAAAGTCATGCAAGGCTTATATTCCCAGAATGTTTACCGAAAATTTCGAAATTGTTAAAAATATTCCACCCACAATCAAGGAAGAGGACTTCCTTAAGTCAGCTAACTCAGACTTTGAAATCCTGTAAGTTACAATACTTCACAGAAGCGACTCTACCAATAGAGAAAATTTTATTCTCACTAACTTCTGCTGTCCCTACCGTCTCTTGAGAAACGTAGATTTGTTCTTGTCTTTCGTTTCTAATTAAAGTAATAAATGGTGCTATTGACTCGCCTTCATGACTTGGTGAAATAAGCTTTAATGTCTTTAACCGCTTCTCTAGGCACTTTATCTTGGTTAAGCTTAATCAGTGTAAATTTAATTATGAGCTGTTCAATCCGCTCAGAGTCGTTTGCAAGAACCTAAATGACGTCTACCACTTATTCTCGTTATCGGACTCTTTAAAGTCCATTAAAGCAACACTGCTTAATACGCTTTTATCCTTAAAAAGTCGTTACGTTTCCAAAGTGAATTATTGTCAATTTATTATCGGTTGCCAGGCTTATGCATGTTTGCGATGGCTTAGGGGTTCACTTGCAATTTGGTCCTGTACCGGTTGTCCTGTTCCTGCTCCTATGCTGATAGTGTACATGCTTTTTTTTCTTTTTTCTTTTTCTTTTTTTTTTCTTCTTATTTGTTTTGTTATGCTTATACTCAATTTTATTGTTAATTAATATAAGTTTTGCATTAAGAGCCAATTGAACTCGATTGTTATTTGTTTAGTTGAGTTTCTAGTATAAGTGGAATAAATAAAATAAATAAATAAATAAACAGATTGGATCCAAAGGTAAACTAATCCCTAAATCTATAAAATTTAATTACTGTAACATCCTTGGTTGATTATTTCATCCCCTCTGTCAAACTGTGCTATAACTGCGGCCATTTTGGTCATATCGCAAGAGACTGTAAAAGTAAAGAAGGCAGATGTCTAAATTGTTGCAAGACACCGGCCTGTCCTAAAAACTCATGTCTCACTGGTATATGTTTAGGTTGCGGGTCTTCGGACCACAACGTAAGCTTTCGCGATTGTCCTAAAGGAAAGAGAGAAGAAAATGTAAAAAAGTTCCTTACTATTCAAAACATATACTTCAGAGTATATAAGGAAAAATTCTCCAACAACCCCTACAAGCTACTCGATAACTACGATGAAAACTTCCCATCATTGAAGGATAACACTGCATCCAACAATATCAGGGACCCTACTCTCGAAACAAACAACATTTTAATTTAAAAAAATTTCAAAGCGATTGTCAAAAATAAAACGGGTATTCCCAAACCCACGCAAAGAACATCTCACAAAGTGCCCTTAACTCATAGCAGTAACACATATGAGCAAAAAAACGCCTACTTCCTGATGAAAGGAACACATTCATCAATAATCACAAACCTACTGAAATGGAAATGATTTTGGAAAAGATCTTCAAAATTCTCTCCACGACTCATCGCGAAGCAAATTTCAAAGCCATACAGGAAGAAATACTCACCCTCAAATCAGCATTTGATCACTTAAAACAAGGCCCATCTGAGCTAGCATCATCATGCCCTAATATCTCTCACTGATCTCCTTTCTACAATACAACACACAAAGCTTCAGGCGTAATGCCCATTCGCTTGATTATTTCACAAATTCCAGCCGAACTGGTTTCGCCATCTTGAGTGAAATCTTTCTATCCGACGACAACATTTCCGATCTCAAAATCTCAAATTACAACTCCGCTTATAAATGTAGAAGTGGCGGCTATGGAGGTGTTGTAATCCTTGCCAGGAAAGGCGTCTCCTTCATAGAAATCCCCTTTAAATGAGCTGCTGACATTGTTTTTGTCAAAACCTCTTCCCTAAAACGTAATATTGTTATTGCTGCTTGTTATTTCAAACCTAACACCCCTATTCAATCTTTCCGGGATGACTTTAATCGCCTCTGCGATATGCTCGATTGTTTCCACAATGTCATAATTGCAGGAGATTTTAATGCAAGACACCCTTCCTTTGGTGACTCCGTATCAAACAATAAAGGCAAAGCTTTGCAAGAAATCATTGAAGCCAGTAATTTCTATTGTCTCAGTGATAATTTCCCAACCTTTGTGCACTCTACGATCAACAATTGTGGTAGAGTGTTGGATCTAACTTTCACTAACGCAACCAATCTTACGTTCAAATGGGAGGTCAAAAAAGAAATTTTTCTGGGAAACAGTCACCACCTTCCTAGTCCACTCAGTGCTCATTTCAACGAGAAATAAATAAAGTCAGATCAAACATCCAAATCTCCGATTCCTGCGCACCAAAACTTTGGTGAAACGAGCTGCTCACTTCACTATTCTATAAATTACAAGCTACTAAACAAAAATTTTCTAAATACCCCAATATCTCAATTTATCCCAAAAAGAATGAAAGAAATCAGTTAGAAAAGCCAAAAGAAGTCACCGTACCATAGTTGTCGAAGAGCTTTGCTCAAATAGCAACACAAAACCATTCTGGAAATTTTTAAATAGCCACAAAAAGGAAATACAAACACCCCATTTGCGATGATCATAGCGACAAATCCTACCTAGAATGGTTGAAAGTTCGAGTTCCCTCGACAAATGGTCTCCAACCTTCCTCACTTAACTCTCAGATGGATAACATCTCTCCATTCTCCCTTCATGAACTCATGCAAGTCCTTAAGTCGAAAAAGAAATCCATGGCAGCAGGCCATGACGGAATCAAATATATGATAAAAGTCCGTCCCGTGCTAAGCCTTCTAACCCCGCTATCTGCTATAAATGAATGCTGGATGACCAACTCGTTTCCTACTGTTTGGCGTACAATTAAAATAGTGCCCATTCCTAAACCCGGAAAAAATCTTGAAATATTCACTAACTTCAGACCATATCCCTCTTGCCCGCACTTCTAAAAGTTACCAACCAAATGATCAAAGAAAGACTGACAAATTTTCTAAATCACTCACACCTGTTCCCGTCAAGGTCCTTTGCTTATCAAAAACACATCTCCACCGGTATGTGCCTTAATGAAGTCCTTTTCACAGTTGCAAATGAAAAGGCAAATGGAAACCAGGTAGTTATGCTTTGCTCAGACATTAATAAAGCTTACGACTGCGTTAATCTAGGGAAACTAAACCAAAATCTGAAAATCCCGACACAAAGTAGGCAATGGATTCTCAACTTTCTTTCCTCAATGTAGCTGTCTCAGCCCAGTTCTTTTCAATCTGTACACAGCCGCCTTACATCGATTACAAGACAATACAACTCATCTATTTCAGTATGCTGACGATTTCCTCATCATCTTTGCTGGAAAATCACTAGCAGAAGCAGTCCGTAACTTCGACGTTCAAGCCAATCTTTTTCACAGACATTGTGCAGATCTAAATCTAACTTTCAATCCGGAAATATCAAAAGTCATCCGCTTTGCTAAGGGTCTCAAAAATATTTCAAAATATTATTATCACATTACAGTCAATCGTATAAAAATCAGTCAATCTTCCTCTATTAAATTCTTGGGCAGAATAATCAACTCAAGTTTAACCACTCATGTGCATTACAGGGACAACCTTGAAAATTTCAACACAAGCTCAAACGTCATCAAACTTTTAACCAATATTCACACCGGACTCCCCCCTAGGAAAGCTTTAAACGTTTACAAATCTATTATTAGATCCAAAATTGAACATTCTTACTACACCTCGTGCAATGCTCCTGCGTATACATTAAAAAGAATACAAACCTTTCAACACTCAATCCTAAGACGTTGTACCGGTTTGTCCCCCTCGATTCCAACATCAATTTTACGTTCCATCTCATATGAACCTCCCGTAGCTGAGAGAATTTCTCTTGTAACTGCAAAGGAACTTCTCAAGGTAAAAATCTTTAAACCTGCCTTCTTTGACAAAGTTGCTTCCAAGCACAATTACGTCATCAATAATTACTCTAACTGCTCCAAAAAATTCAGTAATATCTTCAATAAAGTTAACTCAACACCTTCTTGGAATAACATCACTCATGATAAGTGCGTAGTGGAATTAAACTTACTTAATTTGGTCAGCAATTCAAAAAAAATCGGTCAAGGTCTTGTTTCAAATTGCTTGTCTGCAAAAACTTAACCACTTCGTCGAAAATAACTTCAAAATATACGCAACGGATGGATCTGTCAATTCGGATATTTCTAGTTTCTCAATTATAGAATATCCATACTTACTTTTAGGAAAATTCAAAGTTCTACAAGAAGTATCATCTACGTTCATTGAACTTCTGGCCGTCAGACCTCAACTTTAGACTCCAGACTCCAGACTCCAACTTTAATCAAGAACAAAGACCCATACAATATGTGCGTCTTCGATATTTACAACCTTTTAAAAGACCCCAGCGTTGAAAAATGCCCCATCATCTGGATCCCAGGTCACAGCGGTTTTAGTATCAATGAAAAAGCTGACTTGCATGCACTTGAAGCTCGATTTGATGGTACAATCTTCTCCATAAACTGTTTCTCCGGCACGTCTGACGGATTATCGACAATAGTGCCTGTCAGAACGTCCGCGGTGCATTACCCTAGTCTTCATCAACAAAAATTCCATAACCAACATCGCATATCCATATCATCAATGTGCTGCTGTTTATGTTACTGGATTATGGGTCTCATTTAACCGGCGTTCGTTTTGGTGAATGGAATTCTGAGGAAAATTCTGATTGTAAAAATGGAAAGAATACTTCATGTGCTTCGAGCCATATAAATGTGGCAATTGAATATGCTGTACCACATTCCCTGTATAGTTTAAAAGCCAAGAACCAACTACACGATATCGTTCTTATACGGCTGGCTGAGGTCATACATTTTACAGATTTTATAAAGCCGACATGTTTGCCTTTAAATAAAGAAGAGCGAATAATCGACTTTAAGAGCTTGATTACGGAAGAAGCTGGATGGAATCTCAATTTTATTAAAATCAAGGTCCCAGTACAAGGTGTTGCTGCCCTTAAATATCATCGCATGTATATGAAGCGTAACATTAGATTAGCAAATTCACAGTTTTATGTCGAAAGTCAAGAGCCGAGGTACACTTTGAGAAAGCTTGGTAGTCCTGCCGTCACATTATGCCTAATCCATCTAATGGATGCAAAAGGTAATTAAGAAACTGTAGTCTGACACAGGCGACCATTAATTACATGTTTGTTTAATTTCTTCTAGGATACGCCCTTATTACACGTTGGCTGGCCTTCTGTCGTTCTATCCCCGATCGAGCAATAATATAAAAGTTCACTAAAATTCAGCAATATATTGGATGGATTTTGGAAACAATTGAAGAGCAAATACACTTACCAATTAGGCGATTAACACCATTCTTGCCTTCACATATTTGGTTGATATTTTTAATTTTGATAATTTATGAATTTCGAAGGAGATTCCTTAAAGTTTGAATAAAATGAAATTTTCTGAAAATAAAAACAAAATTGAAATATGATTTTTGGAACACTTTGACTGTCATCAACATATCATCAATACATCATATATATGTATACCTACGATTGCACCTAAATGGGTAAAGAATCCAGTTATCGCTGTTAAGGTGCGCTTAATCAAAAGGCTCGGCGCATTTCCCTGCGTTAGAAATGTTCAAAAAAATTAGCACAAAAAACAAGAATTTCGAAGAAACTCTCGACACATTTTCCCTTGCAAACATTTTCCACAAAACGTAACATGAAAAAAAGAACATGTACCGATAGCACATATCAGAAATAGCTTTTATATGTATGAATATATGGAAAGAATTATCATTTTATTTTTGAAAATAGGGTAAAATCGAATGCCACGCCTATAAAAATTGTATAAAACTATTGAGGAGACGCACAAGGGGAGATGAATGCATATTTTTCATACATTTATATAAAAGAGATTATATATTATATATAAATATAGAATTAACATGAGATTAATATGAGATTTTCATTTTTCCCAGATAATCCCAGTTTATATATTACTAAGATATTACTAAGATAAATATCCTCATATATACTACGAGCTTTTGGTTTTTCCATTCCTTTGCCGCTACGCGATTACTCTATATAATCTTCGGTTTGGGCCAACCGTAGCGATTTAGGTGGTGCTTGCAAATGTTCTTTTCCACAATATGTTCCTTCGTCTGAAAAAAAATAAAATATATTATTCACGGTTGTAATTGAGATCTCTAAATACTTTACGAATTTTTATATCTTTAAACAATTTGATGCAAGGTTATAAATTCAGCGGCTAAAACATTCTACATGTCGGGGGGGCAGATCAATGTCCCAATTGTATTCCGCGGACCCAACGGGACAGCCATGGGATTCCTACCCCGTTCACAATCATACTTATGAACCGGTTTTCTACTGAACTAGAACGAGTTGTGAAATGAAAGTCCCAGCGCTGTTACGCTATTTCTGTTACTGTAACAACTACAGCAAAAAGCAACTTTACTGACGACGGGAAGCCGTGTTAACTGATAAAAAAAAGAGAAAAACAAAATTAAAAATTTTTGTAATTTATCAGTGATAGGTCTCAATCAATACATACAGGCCTAATCCATTGCCTTTGTACAAACAAAAAAAATAGTCTCTCTTTTTTTTTTTTTGGTATGTTGAATGGAGATGGACTAAGCCAATAGATTTGTGGCTTATATGTCCAGATAATAAACTGTCGTAATTTTTGGTCACAATTATGTACAAAACGTAACAAAAAAAGAGCGGCCGCGGAGCGAGCATGTTAAGTGTAATTTTGTATGTGTGTGTAATTGTGCTTGTTAAGTGCTTGAAAGTCAAACAGTGTTGCAAGCGTTGGCTGAAAACGAAAAGGAGTGCTATGGTAATAGAAGATGTTTAAACGCAAAAACGAAATAAAAAAAAAGGAAAGAAGAGGAAAAAAAAATTCTAGAAGGATAACTTAGCTTTTCTAATAAAGCAAGTTAGTTCCCCGAGATGACGTACATTTTTTGCTGCAAAGAGATCGTGGAGACAGCCATATAACTTGAAGAAGCTAAAGGAATCTCTAATGCCATCAAGCCTGTGACATATGAAGATTAGATGCTCAGCAGACTCAACAACATTGCAAACTTCACAAACATCACATCGTATAGCGCGAATCATTTTTAAATAAACTTTGTCATAAGTATGACCACTCATGAGTCTATAAAGAATTTTGATTTCCCAGGAATTAAAAGAAGATACAGAAAAGGGTTTGAATTGAAGTGTGGGATTTAATTTATAGAAAAGACGATTGGATTTAACGCGCTTAAAATGTTGTATATAAATTAGTAGAAAACGCCGCAAACGATGTAATTTCCTAATTTAAATTTTTAAGGCAAATTCGAAAACAAATCTAGTTTATATACCATATGTATCTCATACTTGATAAACATTATAAATTAAAATTCATACTTGATTTTTTTGTTTTAGACGCATCGAAACTTTCCTTATTTACGCATTGTCTGTTTTGTCATCTCTCAAGTGTACACATTCGATAGGCATAAAATTCTGAATTGATTAAGCCATGTCTGTCAGTCTGTCCGTCTGTGTTCTGTCTTTTGTGAACATTCTCCTGGCTGCAAAAATGAAGCCATCGACTTCAAATTGGGCAAAAATATTGAAAGTTCTTACACGGTTGTTGGTATTGAAAATACGCAAAATCGGTTAGAGGCCGATAAATGTACAAAAATCTTTAAGCGTTCTATGCGATGCTATAGTACTAGTACAAAACTAGGGACAAAACCTAATGTAACCTGCACATCGTTGGAAATGCTATTAATAGAGGATTCATGCTAGTTTCATTTTTTCACAGGGCATGGTTTACTCACAGTAGCTATGCAAACTTTCGCTTTATCAACCTCATTTGTGACATACTGAAGAAATGTTGTCCTTTCGAATATTAATTAATTAAAGTCATGTTTTGTTTATAATAATTTGCAAAAAAATTCTCGAAATGTTCCATTTTATTTGTATTTTGAGCTAAACCCCTCCGAGACTTCGTTTAACAGAATTCTGCAAACAGTTTTACAAAATCTGCAAAAAAAAACGGGTTGTGTCTTTGCTATTTATATTTAAATATAACGCCACACCCTTGAAAAACTTATGTCTCGAATTTGAGAAAGTTCTTTTTCCAAAAAACCTCCATATGTGCGTATGTGCAACTGCAGATAATGACAAAATTCTCTTGTTTTACATTGAAATCAAAAAATAAACGAGTCTTCGTTATATTAAATTTTACTTCTGCTTTTTAGCTTTATATAAATTATCATTGCATTATTTGCTTAATTAATACAAAGTAAAGAAAATAACCAAAACTCTTAATATCACTATCTTCTTTTAGTCAGAAAAATACAAACCAAAATATTCCACAAAAATTTCTCGTCTTGTGTTTAAATTTCTATACTTTAGTCTATGATGCAGGCAGTCGTTTGCCAAATTTTGATTAATATATTAATGTTAAATTCTTTTGATAATAATTTTTTTTGTTTACTAATATTTTAATATTAATAATTTTCTTCTTCGCGTATGTTATTCTTCAAAAGCTGTGTCGATCAGTAGTTCAAAAACTTTTTTACAAAATTTTTATAATTTTCTGTTTTTTACATGAATATATTTTTTTGTTTTATTTGTCTCTTATTTTTTTTGCTTTCGCAAGCATTCCATTCAAGATGTTTAAAAAATAGTCTGCATTTCCGAAATCGATGCGCTTTTCCTTCTACTGTCAACCAACACACTCCAGCTCTCACAGCACCACCGCTCAAATCCTACTCAACTTACCGCACAGAGCATCAAAACCAGAACTGTCCGTTTTCTCTTTGTTTTGCTCGTGTTTAATTTTTTCTCTTCTTTTCTCTTAAATATCGTTGAACGAGATCTTAACATGACAAAGTGCTACGCCAAATCTGTTCAGAACTTCAGAAACAAACAAAAAACTAACATGCTCTAAATACACAGTCGGACTCTGGGCATTCCTCTTTTCACGGCTCTCTCTTGCATAATAGAGTGATTTAGGAAAAGAGACCATTATGACGCGAGTTTTTTTTCTGCTTTCTTCTTTTTGTTCTTTGCATAAGGGCAAGCCGTTATTCTTGCCAATGCAATTTTGCGTAACGACTGACCTTTATTACACACTTACTTACTCTATTGAGATAGAGTAGTGGTAAAGGCAGTCCGACGGAACCCCTTTGCTAAAATTTTACGCGGACTTTACGAGGTCCAAAGGCATTTATACAAAATTTCCTGCATTTCTCATTCGCCCTACCACTTGAAATTTTGCATCATCGGTTAGGCGACTTTCTTCAGGTCCGGATAAGTTTTTTGGTGTTGGAACACATATTCGTGATTATTTTATACAATATGTAAGGCATTTACCTACTTTCAAAGAGCGCAAATTCTTCTTCTTGCTTCTTCTTTTGCTGATTTAGATACCCAATATAACAACAAGGTCCAGAGAAGGACGAATGACATTATAATTTGTTTAAAATTGTCCACCGGAACATGTTAAAATGTTACAAACCTTTTATCCATCAAACCTTGACACTGGGAGAAAAAATAAATTAATAAAAATTTCAAAAGCGTTCCGTTATTTTATAAATACACATACAAGAAAACAGGTGATTTGCGAAACCTTAGTATTACATATTTTTTTAAAGAGAATGCTTATGTTACCATACCAATTTATACTAACCGGCACGGTTTTTCACACCGCTCTTAGAAGTACCGTGATCGGCGCGAATTGCTTTGAATGGCTGGCTTCCCCCGTAGGCTTACACCATTATAAACTTAACTTAAAACTTTAATAATATTTACAATAATAGTAATATACAAATATAACCGCCGTTTATTTACAAAAAATACAAAAAAAAAAAATATTTTGATTACTGAATTTTTTATGTAAAGACGACCACAAACGTGTCGCATTCCGCTAAAGCGATGAGTGGAGACGTATGCTTGTTTTTTAATCTAAAATAAAATAAAAAAAATTAAGAAAGTATACACAATAATAAGTAAAAATAAACGCATACACCGAATATTCATGTATATAAGGTGGTGAACGGCGGCACATCGTTCGTTTTTAATCTGAATTATGAAAGAATAAAATAAATAAGCAATTTACAAATATACATATATAAAATTATAATTACCGTCACTCTGCTACATTTCGCATACGTGCGATGCGTGGAGCTTTTGTATTCTAAAATAGAATAAACAAATAAGCAATATATAAATATACCTGTATAACATGATTATGAGGAAACATTTCTATTTAGTGTCTCACTACAGTTTTTTCCTGATAAAAGCAAGAAGAGTATATAGCCAAGCAAATCGATGCGGTGCCAACCATGCGAGAATAAGCGTATATGTTTGTTTACACTTCTCAATAATTGAACATGTGTTTGTATAATCTATGGTGCCTTTAAAGAATAAGCGTACAAAGTATGGTGCCTTTAGAGAATAAGCAACTGATTTATATTGCTGCCAAGTTTACATCTTTATATTTTCAATCCATTGGGACCATTAAAATATCCTGCGACCACTTGGTGATCTTGTGATCTTGTTTTGTACCCACTCTCGTGCAACCTTTCCTATGGAAATTGAAGCTTTACATGGTAAAAAGGTCGAATTTCCAATATTTCATGGTGAAAGTTGGCTCATAATAGTAAATCAACAGAGGCATCTACCCTTTCCGAGTTACAAATCTCACTGTTGCAAAAATTCAGAAATGTTGAACTTACTGCATGACTTGGAAACGTTATTTGATCAATAGTGCCATTGCAAATCAAAATCAAAACATAAATTTATTGTGTCAAGGTTGTAGGAAGTGTTTAATTGGGCGTTGGGTAACTCAATCAAGACAAAATCAAAAAAAAGAGGCAATGCAAAAGAGACTCATGCATAAACTTTTCTACCAAAGGATATGAAACGTAGGTCTCATGGTTAATAACAATAATAAATATTGAAAGTAGTTCACAGTATGTGAGAATTTGATCTAGGCTTTCCTAGTATTCCTCTGGAATACTTTTAACGCATGTCATGATTTCGTTTTTCATAAATCCTTTACCTCTAAATACATTGTGAAGAAAAAAACAAACAATTGCACATTTAGGTAGAATTCTTAGTTAAGGCACATAATAATTATTAAGTAAATTAATAAATTTAACGTAAGTGTGCGTTCTTTGACTTTGGGTTTTGATACCAAATTTAACGCGAATAATACAATAATATAAATGCGATTCAAATGTATGTACAATTGTGGACAAAACAGTCTTTTGGTTATAAGTGTACAAGATATGAAATGTAAAAATGTTTAAAAAAAATATTTAAAAATTACTTTTATATGTATATATATAAATATATATATGATTAATTCTATGAGTATTCTTATTTGTGTACTTTGTTTTTAACATCGAATAAAAAGAAAATAATAATAATAAGTAGAAAATTATGGCCTTGTTTAGGTATATAAACACAAACGGATCATCTGCTCATTTGGAAGGAAGTAGTAACATTTTTAACTTTTCCGATTCTCTAAGGATGACAATTGTTTCTTCTTTTAGGCTTGTGTTTAAGCAATGTTTGCCTTTCGCTATTTTTCTCCTTTTCGAATTTTATATAATTTTTCCTTTCTTTATCATAATTCTCCTTATCCTCATCATCATCATTATCTGAAATGTTCCCAATTGCATAAGTATTCGTTTGTATTCCCACATCACAGCTTAGTTTGCTAGTTCGGGAGTTAGGTTTATCGGTTGATAAATTAGAGTAGGACGAATTAAGCATAACATCGAGAGGTAAATTTACTTCCGAATACGATTGACTCATATTAATACTGTCACCATTGGCACCGTAACTGAGATGACGTTGTAAATTCAAATTCAAGTCGGACATTTTCAATAAAGCTTTGTCATCGTTAACTTTCAATAAAGTTTTGTATTTACTAACGTTACGTTGACGTCTGAGGTTGCGTTTCTTAGTGTAGGAACAAGCTGCATTAGATGGAGATTTTCTCGATTGAATGCTCATCAGATTTTTGCAATTCTATTGATTCCCCGACTGTCGTGGGTTTTTTGTGTAGATTATTTGCTTCGGCTTCATAAATTTCCTCAATTTGTAGAGCTTCATTAGACCTATTGGCATCTGTTTCTGTTTCGTGAAGGGGTAAGATCCATTGGCTATTTTGGGTCAAAAACTCATCAATGTCTGTGGTATCTAAAGTTAGAATGAAAAGTGTGTGAATAAAGTCCTTCATATTTTTCAACACGCAAATAAACCATTTACTGGTATTTCCAGGCCTGCGTTTACTGTTACCTCTGCCGTGCGTTTGGTGCTGCTTTTGGTAAATACTCCGACTTTCTGACTAGTACTCGCGTAAATAGTTTTTTTTAACGCTATTACCTGCGATTCCAGGGAAGTGCTACTTTCGCGACGACCTCGGGTTTTGCGTTCCGAAGTGGCTACAAAATCTTTTCGTTTTTGATTACGTTTGCTAATATTCGATGAACGTTTGCTATGATTGTGGTGACCACTTTGACGTTTGCTTGTACGAGCGGCTACTTTGGTTTTCATTTCATCTATTTTCACCGAAAGCTGTGAGTCCACGGAATTTCTTCTTGATTCCACCGAAACATGACGTACACTGAAGCTGGTTTCTGAATCTAAGGAACTTTTCCGTGGTCCTTGACTGGAGCTATTGTTAGCATACGTCTTTTAACGCCATGCCCCTTATATTATTGCGAAAAAATTAATCCATCAGGTCGTGATTTCAATATAGTTACTTTAGAATTAACACTTACTTGGACACATAGTATATCTTTATGTGAAGGATGTATAGAATAATTTTCAGCACTTGTTCTTGAAAACACAAACATATATAAAAAATATTTGATTTGTCGATAAAATACTTGTAAAATGTTTGTATATTAACGCTAATAATGTATAAAAACTTTTAAGAAACCAAATATTAGACATAAATAAGGTACATTCCTACTTAGCTAAGCTAATGCCGCTGACCGACTTTGATTTGTTCACAAAATTGCTAAGAAGACACCAACGAGATTTCCAGAAAAACTATATGAATTTCACGTGGATCTCCTTTAAAAAAATTTTCTAAAAAATCCATATCAATGTAATCACGTGTAATTCCTTGTTGCTTTTCAACAATTTAATTTATTAAATACTACACAAATTTTTAATATAGTTTTCGTAAAACTTCTTTCTCTTCAACAATTTAATTTATTAAACACTACACTAATCTTTAGTATAATTTTCGTAAAATTCCTTTTTTTATATTTTCTTTCGATATTTGTCAATATTATCAATTTTTTTTCGCTTTTATTCACTTCGTACAACTTCTTTGTGCATTTTTATAAGGGTTTTGATTTCTCGCTAAAAACCATTAGCTGGTTTTTTCCTTTACAAGTTTATAAAAAACGTACCATGTATGGAGAATGGAGAGAGCACAGAATTGTTTTCAATAAATTGGAAAGCTTCGAATAAAGCTGAATGCTTATGTCGTGTTTTGTTTGAGTGCTCATGACTAGAAAAAAATAGTCTCAGGCCAGTTTTCAAACGAGCACTGAAGCCGTTCAAGCAAGTCGTAATAAAAAATGGCTAAAGCAGGGAGCTGGAAATTAGAATCAATCCAGGAGCTGCTTTTCAAACAAATAAAAATATTACGAAAATAACAAAATTATCGGAAGGTTTCACACCTAATGTTTCTCCAAAAAGGTTCATCAAACGCTATTACGATATTAGATTAAGAGATCAAGGCGAAGCAACCAGCATCTAAAACAATAGATCTACGCTTATGTATAGTTGAGATTTACTATGTACATCACAAACACTAAGTCTTTTGCTTCATTTATATTTATTATATTTATCCTATTAATTTATCCAAGTGCAATCTTAGAATGCGATTCATTTTAATGTCTTTACACATTATATTTATAATTATGTTATTACTATTCGCTTAAAAAATGTGCGCCCTTTGCCTTCGTCATTTCTTTTTTCGTTTGGAGGGAGGATTTTCGCATATGGACCTATACCTCCAGCAACATGTTATAAATTCTCTTGCAAAAATTGCTCAGTCTTACTTTGAAATATTTGGTGAATTTTTTCTTAAATTTTTGCTTTTTTCCATTTAATTTATACGCTAAACTTGTCAAAGACAGAATAAAAATCGACTTCATCATTTCAAATTTAGTTTTTCCGTTTGTTTTCAACCAAAATGCAAGTAATGAATTTAATCATTTTAAAAACATTCAATCGGTAATAAGTTTTCCTTCCAAAAACAGAGATGTCATAAAAAATTGAATTTCAAATTATATTCGGTGTTTTAGAAGCAAATGCATTGTTAGAGCATTTGTAAAAAAAAAAATATATATTTATTTGACTATTGAAACGGTTTTAAGGCGTCAATATAAAAAAACTAACGTTTAAATATTTAATAAACTTCTGAATAATTATTTGTAGTTTTCTATTAAATTCGTGTTCAATGTTTGCAAAATAAATTATCTTTGTTTCTTTTCTTTGAAACATAAATAACATACGGCAGAGGTAAGGTTAATGAATGGGTAAGGTAAGGTTAATGAATCAGCGTCTGCAAATTTTGATGTCAGTAAAATAAGGCTTTTGGGCACGGGTACTCAATACTTGTCCTCGAACTTGTACTTTTACTTGATCACAGTTATTTAATGATTTCCAGTAAAAAGTATGTAAAAAGTTTTTGTTGCACAAGTTGTTCTTCTTCCACAACCACTTCCTGATCCTACATCCAATCTTCTTTATAAGTGTGTATGTGGTTAAAACATATTGTTCTTTTCGTGACCGCGCATATTTTACACAATATTTTTCCAACGTACCCGATATCAAAAATATGAGAGTAAGTATATATATATATAGATACATTTTTTTGAATTTAATGATCTAAGAACTAGCTATTTATTAGGACTATATCTCCATGCAAAGATCTCTCTCTTGGCCTACACATCCACATTGCTGTCTACGATGGCAAATAATTCAGTTAGTAATTTTAAAAAGCGGAATGTGCTAATTAATCAAAAATTTAAAAAAAAATTGTTATATTTAAAGCTATAAACATTAGAGGTCAAAAATATGTTTTATAAAAACAAATCGGGAAAATTTTTTCACGTTTATGTTGTTCTTTTTTCTTTCACTATAAAATAATATCTTTGTGCTTTTATTTTAATTTCTTTTACTTTTAGAGAGCCTGCATTTGTTTTTCTATAAGAGGAAATACATCGGAAAATGCACATTCAATCACACGAGTCATAATATTATAAAGAAATTAATTTTTTTTTTGTGCCTCTAAAACGTGAGAAGTAATAGCTTACAAATCTATAACGAATTTTTAAATAAAAATTCGATGACCAATCACTTGAGCGTTAGTGTACAAAAAATGTAAAAAAAACGGTGGGCATTTTAAACTTAATTGCAAAAATTACAAAAATTTTCTAAATCTAAAAATATGAAAAAATTAATTGTTCGGGTAAACAACTGAGCAAAGTTTTTTTCTTCTTAAAACAAGAAGAAAGCCGTATGAATGAATATATGTGTGTGTGTGTAAACATATTTTATATATTTAATATCATCTTGGAATCCAACTAGATTCACTCTGCGGGCTGTTTGGTGGTGTTAAAGATCGTTCACAATTTGCACCTATCTCAGAAATGGGCGAAAAATTTACCAGTTCTTCGTTTAGTAAAATATTGTCTTTAAAGATTTATGGTGTTGGCGGAACCACCAGTAAATTTACTGCTATCAGCAACGGGTGCACACATTTACCATCCATTGTCATCAAAAGCTCCTCATTTTTTTCCAAACACAAAGATGTTATCTCAGACCATTGTGTAAATATGGGCTGACGTTACGAGTTTGTCGAAGTAAAATTAACCAAAGATATCCAAAAATTTCTTGTTTGCTGTTAAAATTGTATTAAATGAAAATAAAATGGCTTTAATAAGTTGCTGTTTTGATTCTGGATTTGAATTGCGCGAACTCTTTGATACTTTTGTGCAAAAAGGCATATATCCAGTGCAAATGAAAAATATAATCCACACAATGTTTGTCTAAAAGTTGTCATCAAAAGTTGTCATCTCCACAATTGGCTCAACATCGTATCAATAGCTTAACTTATTTTGTGATTAACTTTCAGCCAACGTTTCCAGGAATAGATGCTTCGGAGAAGAAAATGTTTTTGCGATTTCGAAGGATAATTTTAATTTGACCTATGGACGTAAGCAAAGAATCAGGCTTAAATGAATAAAGCTTTAAAGTGAAGCTATTGCAACTTTTATATATTCCATCGAAGGGCGGGAGTATCATATGTGCTTATGAATACTGTTAAAGTGGTAGAAATTTTCGCAACCTGCTAGTAAATGAGAAATTTGAGGATTATTCAGTTAGCAGGTTCGCATTATCAGCTGGTTTCTAGTGACATTAACTTGAATTACTTTAAAGAAGCCCGCGCGAAATTAATTCAAAATTCCGATATGCAATTTAGCACTTCAAAAACTTTATTTTCTTATAAAATAACTTACTACTCCCTATTCTTTATTTTAGGGGCCTTTCTGTAATTTCTAAAGAAAACTTAATATCCACTTAATATATATTGCCATGCAGAATTCGTTAAGCCGCGGCGTATAACGTGTAGTGAATACATTTTGGGTTTATTTTTGTATATATCTCTTCTTGTATTTTCACAGCATAAAGCTTTGTAGTACAGAAAATAACACAGGTATACACTAATGGGTTATCCATTAGCACCGCTTAGTAACCACATGCTTCAAGCACTAAATAGGGAACATATAATGAAATTTTGAACAACTTATATCTTCATCAAGCATAGTGTGGAAAATTTTTGTACTTTATATTTGTAGTGTGACTTATGAAAGTGCTTACATTTAAAGCTACTGCTTAAGAAAAATTTAATAATAATAGCGCCATACCAAACGAACTTTGCAAACGATGATATTAAATACTTTTATATATTTCCGAAATTAAGAATAACTCAACTTTATACTTCTAAATAACGAGCAAAGCCATAAATTGTTCCCAAATTTCTCTTCCTTTTACCTTTGAAACCATATTTGTTGTTTAATTTTGCATTATACAATATTTATCCTATTGAAAAGAGTTTCGCAAAACCTAGTGGTACGTTTTAAAAGAACCCAACTACTATTCCTCGATGAAGTTTTGAAGAGAACAGTAAAGCATAATTGCTCTTTCGACTTTTCGCAACCAACACACACTCAACAAAAAATTTGAGTGCCTCTAAATTCAAAATTTATAACATCAACTTATGTTCTTTATTTAAGTTGTACTTAATAAACAAATTCTTATCGCGACGCTTTATTACGTTGACATAATGATTCCCATTCAATCGGATGCTTTTTCTTTTTATGCGAATACATATTAGCACTGGAATTAAAGCTTCGTAAACAAAACTGACAACTATACAAGGGCTCGCCAGTGTGTGATGCGCGGTGTTCCTGAAATAAAAAAAACGAACATTAAAAATCTACTTTCATTTTGATTTAGATCAAGAGCTACTTTTAACGATTTGGCACTTTTGAACGTTTTTTGACATTCTTCACATGTAAACACTTCCGTGGAATGAGTTTTTTTCAAGTGATTACTTAAGCAGTGTTTGCTTTTACAAAAACGTCCGCATTTGGGGCATTCAAGACTTTGGTCTGCGCAGTGGAAACGCCTTAAATGCTGTTTTAAATTTTCATCATCTTTAAGCCAACTATCGCAATCTTCTCGCGGACATTTTATGCGAGGGCCGCTGTCCTCGAAATGGGAACGTACATGTTTTTCAAAAGATTGATTGCTACGTATTGCTTTAGCGCATACGTGGCATACATTTGGGGCTTTACGATGGCGAGAGTTGATATGAATTTGTAGAATATATTCATTGGCGAAGCTAAAGGAAAACAATGCCATGAGTTAAAAAATGCAATAATAACAATATGGGAGCAATATTTACGCTTTGGGCGGTTCACATGTATTGCAGAAAAAGGATCGTTGATCTTTAGGAACATGTTTAGACTTGTGATGCTGTAATAAATTATGTCTAGCAAATTTTCGTGGGCAGATATCACAAGCAAAATTTAAATTCTCCTCGGGTTCATGGTATTGTAAGTGATGATCTTTAAGCCCAGATTTATTAGAAAATGTCCGACCGCATTCTTCACACCTGTAAATATATTCATTTTTGGTTGCCATCGATAAAACTTCAAAAAGGCAGTAATAAGTACATAAAACAATTCGGGTCCTCATGCAGTTGGGCATGTTGTATTATATCTGAAGGACAATTAAGTTTCCGCGTACAACATTTAATGTACGACTTCATGCCAGGATGTTGTTCTTTAAAATGCTGAGTTAAATCAGTGAAATCAGTTCCTGTGTAAGGACAGAGGTCACATAACATTTTTAAGTGCTTTTTTATAAGATTTTCATTTTCCAGCAATAAAACTTTTGCTTTGGCACGCTGTTTTTTTGGTCTTTTTTTTACTCCGTCCCTCTGCGAACTAATTTTTGCAGCTGCTCCAGAATTGGTATGCTGCTCTTCTAAATTGTTCATTCGATTTTCCGCGAAAACTGATTTACTTCTGAGTCGTCTTAGACTTTGTCTTTTCGGTTCAGTTGTGTTTGTTGTTTCCTCAGCCATTTCACATTTCGCAACTTTTAAAGAACTTTCTTCTAAATGGTTCTGATCTTCAATTCCAAAATCCATCGTCTCTTCATTTTGATCGACATCTTCTATTTTAATAGAGCATTCAGAAGTATTACCATCATTGTTCATAGCATGATTTTCATGGAGCTTAAGTACACTTTGATAAAAATCGTGAAAGTCTTTAAGTTTTTCCCAACATTCATAACATATTATTTCAGTTTCCGCATTTTTCGGTTGGGGCTATATCAAAAGGTGTATAAACCGTGTAAAATTTAATCGAAAATGTTTTTAAGATATATTTGAAAAAGCTATCTACCTTGAACCATAAATGTTGCTCTATGATGTTACATATTTCTAGATTCACGCCATCTTCGTCGAATATATTCAATGTTGGAAGCTTTGGGGTTTTAATTAAACATACACAACAATTCATAATGCCGATGTGTGTGCAAAATAACTTCGACTAAAACTATTGTACTGAGAGAAATATATACTTCCAAGTTACTCAACTGGTTAATTTTTGTTTCTATTTTTAGTTTATGAATTTTTTACGGTTCCACTTTTTTTCGTAAATAAACGTGTCCGTGCAAAGAAAAGAAATATAAAGCAAAAATTGCTTATTACTGCAGCGGCAACACTAAATTTTTTACTCGCAAACAATAGATATAAAATAAAACATACGAAAAGGAATAATGGTGGTAATCGCTCATCTTAAAATTGGGTTTTGCTTTCGTTTTTCAATTGGTTTTGCTTCACATATGCGACAGAATTCACCGTTGTGTGGTCACTTTCATTTCTTTTAGACGAAAGCTAAATTTTTTTTTTTTTTTGATTTTTATAATAATGCGGTTTCTTGTACCTAAAATGCGGGAAAAGTGGCAAGAAATAGCTTCTCCTTCCATTATTTATTTTTCGTAGCTTGTTTAAATATCAGACGTATGCGTACAATAGATAGTTATTAGTTGCAAATTTATAAGCAAATGTATTTATGGTTTTGTCCAATAATTGGCGTTACGTTGAGAGTAACAGAAGAAGAAGAAAGAAGGTATGCAAAATTCATGAACACTAATTACCGATAATTGATTATTACACTTAAAGCAATATTAAAGCAATCAGTAGTGATTATATAGCGTTGACAATTGTAACACGCGATATCTGTAAATCCTCTTTGTCTCTCTAATGCTACACTACGGACTGTGTTATTTCTAGTGTCCCTCGTCTGTGCCACTTAACGAGGATCGCAAGATGCACGTGCCTTTGCTGAGCTGGCTGGTTCGGGAGATATGGGGGTTTTAAATTTTGTCTCACGGACATTCCTCAGACCTTTACACCTAACAGCATGTACTTAACCCTTACACGAAGAGACGGACAGACAAAACTGATCGAACGGGCATATTTCCAGTCCGGGGCCTTTTTATAGCCTGCCCTACGTAAAGGTTTCTTTCAGCCCATCATCTCATGCAATATTTAATATATTTAAATTCATAGTAGCTACACTCAAAAACTAAAAACTTACACCAAAAAAACCTACAATAAAATAGGAAGATTGAAAAGGCATCATGGATCTTCCATTTAATAACAGCAGACTGCTTTAAGACTTTAGTCTTTGAACTTATTTCTCTAGCTAATTTAATTATAATAATAATAATGCATACAATTTTACTTAAAAATTATATTGAACGCATTAAATGAACGAGAAAATTTAAGTTAATCCGCATTTTTGTAGTTATCTCACGATTCTTTACTCAGTAATGCCAATATTTTTAGCATCTACAACTTACACAACATTGTAGTAAAATATGTTAATCTACATTCTCCTTCCACGGTCTCGGTCCCCTAATATTCTCCCAATTTTTAATGTCAAGCTTTTTGATTTTCTCAAATTCCCTTTCTATGTTCACGTCTTCGGTCTTCTTCATGTTTACATCGACAAGCTCCATATCTTCTGGCGTAACAGTTTGCTGCCGGGAATATTTATATCTAGTCAAATAGGAGCAAATAAATTTTATAAATTATATTATTTGAATTAAAGAAAGGAACTTTAATTCGGAAAATTTCTGAGGACCAAACTTACTATAGGCTTATTAAGTTCTTCCACACTGGTGTAAAGAAGAATTTGATTCCTTGCATTTGAGTCCACCATAGCCCGTAATGAAAAAAATTAAAAAATAACGTACGATATGAAGAATAAAAACTTGGCTCAGGCCCGCACAAGCTTCCCTTGCCAACAGCTCGGCCACGTTTTGAATTGAATTGAAATAACTATTAAGCGGTACTTTGGTAATGTATGGCTACATTTTTTTAATTTTGGATTTTAATATCCCAAGGAAAGAGGAAGTGGTAAGTACGTACGTATGTTTGTAATGCTCACAAATACGCATGTGTTGCAGCCGTGGCTTTATTAAGCGATGGTCTTTATTATTGTCGCTGGCTAGGCTGCTAGAGAAGCGAACGCGGCTTTAATGCTCGCTACAAAATGTTAGTTCATGTGTGCACTCATACCAAAGAGAAACCGCATCAATGTCATTTATGTGAGAATCCATATATGCTCACATTCGGGCGAGAAGCCGTACGTATGTGCACTCGAGAGTTGTAGCAAAGGGTATTCGAATTCTTCTGATCGTTTCAAGCACACATGTACGCATTCTATGGAAAAGCCTTATATGTGCAAAGTACCTGGTTACCAGAAACGTTACGCCGATCCTTCATCGTTACGTAAATATGTGAAAACATTTCGCCATTCAATACAAATAATGAAATCATCTATAGAAATATCAAAGTCCAAAAAATCTTATTATATTAAGCATCGAAAACATATAAAGCCGTCTGCATACAAATCATTCATTGGAATGTCTTCAAATTCAATTCGTCGCCCTTTGGATGCACAAGACTCCTTTTGCTTGGTTATGGAAGAAATGTACCACATTAAAGGCAAAGATATAGACAGCTATTGATGGTCCTATGCAACTTTACTCCGATAGCTTTAGCAACAGAAGTTGAATTATCAACGAAATTGGATTTAAGGGTGAAAAACGTTTAGATTTAAGAATTAAACGAGCATAGCAATGATTTATAAGACGTGGCATTATCTTCTATTTTAATGATCATCAAGTCTGAGACTTTAGTCTTTTGTGTTTAAGGAACAAAATAAAGAGACTGTTTATTTTTTCTCAACACTAAGCTTCTGTTGAAATGTGATCATATAAAAAAAAAAAAAAAATAGATTTATTACTTACAATCAGATTTATACTTTAATAACCGACAAGAGTAGCCACTCCTCTTTTTTCTCTTCCAATCTTTATTAATCAACAAAATTTATGGCATTCTCATCTGTAAAGAATGTTCGACTATTCAATTTATATAACCCACCGACATCTTTGGTAATTTTTAAATCATAATTAATGGCAATTTCAGTTTTAGTTTTTAAATGACAGGATTCGACTGTAAAACAGCAGCTTAAATTATGCTCTTGACATAATTGGCAATCCTCCCAATAAAATCTATCCAAACCATTGTAAGGAAGCGTTTTGCTTCCTTACTATTAACAGCTCCATCTGCTTAGATGTCTACCCATAGACCCCGGTAACATTCAGTCCAGTTCCTCCGTCCGCGCGTGAACCTAAATACCTCTGGGTAGGGCACACGATCATCCGCCTCTGGCCCTAGCGCATGGTAAGGTACCGTTAACCGCATAAACGGTAAAATTTATGTAACATTAACATGACACAAAGGCTGTATAAATACACACAAACGAGAATAAAACATGGATAAAAGGGTCAAAATGTATAAAGTCTGTATGAAACCATGAAATATGTGAACACACACACGAGAATAAAATATGCATAGAATCTGTACAAAATCTGTGTAAAATCATTACACACACACGAGTATAAAATATGTACAGAATCAGAATAAAATCTGTATAAGATCACTATAATATATGAACACTCACACGAGTTTAAAAAGATGTATGGAATCTGTATATAAGCTGTAGATAATCACTACAATGTATGATCACACACACGAACATAAAATATGTTTAGAATCTGTACGAAACTGGTCGAAAACCATATAGGGAAGGGTCGAAATATACATTACTGTTAGGCCATATCAACATAGAGACAGCTGTATGCCTTAGAAGGCATAAACACACACACCATGGATAACAGCGTAAAAGATAGAAATGCATATAACCGTACACATTACTGTATAAACGCCTTTAGGTGTATAGCACATACGAACATATGACAATGCATAAACTCTTAGGAATAGGTAGAAAATGCATAAAAATGTACAAAGGCGTAGGATCACACATACCAAACATGTAAACCCACATATACAAACATGGGTAAACACACATAAACAGAAAATACCCTCACTCCACATAAATGTAAGCGAAGTATTATACACACAGATTAAGAAACATAGCGCTCACACACCTAACGGTGAATAAATCACGCGATTTGGTACCTGGGTGCATGTTGGTAATGGAACAAGCGAGCGAGACTGCGGCTATAAAAGAGCAGCTCGTCAGACAGAATCGTTCGTGTTATAGCCGCCTAAGTGCTCCGCGACATCGAAAAGAAAAACGAAAGAAAAGCTCTAACTACGTGTGCGAACAAAAAAAACGGTAATAGCGCGACAAAGTCGGGTCACCTTGCTGGTTCCTGGCCAGCCTCTACACAACGCTGTACTCCTCTTATATAAAATAAAGAAATTTAGGATCATCCCCGAAGGTCCAGAATATTTCATTTTAAATAAATTGTCTTGCAACGAACCTTGGAGTGGCTGAGTTTCTACCCTGCCCAAGAAGACTCGTTACACCATCTACAGCCAATATGCCGATGTGACTGTTATTGCATATACAACATAGATGTCGCTTGTTTGGATATTAACAAAATATAAAGAAAAAACGAAAACAGGAGGAAAGTCAAAAGAAATGAAAATTTAAAATTCGAACTCTTTTAAGGTTTTGTTATTATTATATTATAATTTTAGACTAATGAAATAAATTCTTAGACTAAAAAAAAAGACATTGAGCACTAGCAACACAGGCTATCGGCTCTAATTTATCTAAATGTACATTAGAAACTGAGCCTAGAAGTTTGGGGTCCAAAAGGTTAATCGTTCCAAATGCAATACTTCTAGCCAAGGAAAAGTTGAGGCAGTCGCAGAGAATATGCTTCATAGTGAGAGTTTGTTCACAACTGCAGATTGGGGAGGAAGACTTCTTCAAGATCCATTGGTGAGTTGCAACTGTATGACCAAGGCGAGTTCTCGAAAATGTTTGGATCTTGGTTTTCTTAACATTTGTTGGATATAAAGATGGAGTGAATTGAGGGTTAATGGAATAGTAGTGTTGATGATGGTTTTAAAGATTTCCTTCTGTAGTTTTCTCTTTAACTTTTCTTCCAATGTATCTTTGAAGATCCAACTTTTCCATAACATCATCCTTAATTAGAGGAGCAGAAGTCGCATCCTTTGCCGCTCGTTCAGCCTGCTCATTTCATAATAAACCGATGTGACTTGGTACCCATAACATTTTAATTTTTCCGTCGGGTGTTGTAATTATATTCTTTAATTTGTTAATGGTGCTCCATCTCGATGTCGAAGGGTTCCGAATAGCTTGTAATACAGACAAACTGTCGGTAACAATGACGGTTTTGAGTTTGCTTTTATGGACAAGGTTCGCAGCGTGAAGGATAGGTCTGGCTTCGGTTGAGAAAATTGAAGTACTTTCTTGAAAAATGTGATTGAGAAGAACTTGTCCTGTAGCATCTACCACGGCACAAGCAGGAGGCAGGCCAGAAGATTTTGAGCCGTCTGTGTATAAAAGATTCCAACCAGTACTTGGGTTTTTTCAGCTATTAGATTCCTGAAGACGTAATTTTGAGTATCTTCTTTCTTGTGCACAGACAGCGAGATGTCAAAAGAGCAGTCTTTCAAAATCCAAGGAGGTTTAACACCAAACAATAGTCAATTGCAGATGGTGACTTTGGATTTTCTTCGCAATAATAATCTTCCTCACGTCATCACAGAGAATAGATTTGTTTGAATTAAGAAGCTTGGGGACTATTTTAGCTTTTAACTCATACAGTCTATTTTCGAAAGTTGGGAGACCAGTTTATATATTATAATATTATTTATAATTATATATAAATATATAAATATGGATATAAATATAAGTATAAAATATATATAATAACAATTATAATATTATTTATGGGCGTGGTTCAAAAAGCATATCAACAACAATGTTCCACTCTTTGTAGACGGCAAAGAATTTTGCTAATTTCATTGAAGGCGATCTGGAAAAGCGTGACAGAAAAAGGAGATCCTTGCGGAATGCCATTCATTAGCGGAAAGGAATCAGAGAGATGATTGTTGATTTTAACTTTAAACCGCCGATGCGACATGAATGATTTGATGTAGTTAAAAAATTTAAGTCCAACATTCCATGATTTCAAGAGTCTTAAAATAACATGAAGACCAACTCTTTCAAATGCTTTTTCAAAATCAGTTGAGAGAATTGTTACATGATTTCGTTCGAAATCTGCTTTGCTTAGAAAATAATCAATATGTAACAGCGCGGCGATGCATCCTCTACCCCGCTTGAAACCAACTTGTTGCTTTGTTATCAGGTTCCGATGCGATCTAGACCAGGTGTCCTCCCCTTTGATTTGGAGAGACAACTTTCAAGTTCTAAGGTAGATTTGTAATTTTCCAGGAAGGTGGCACATCTGTAAATACAATTTGAAAGACAAATTCGAGTCCTTTTATTTTCGATGAAAGCATTGGAAAAGTTGCTGTCAGAGGAGTATTCGCACCACATTTGCCCAAAGTAATAAGAAATATCATGTGCGTCAGTTAAAGTTCCATTGGGAGTGCAGATGGCAGAAAGTTCGTTCAGGTTTGAAGTCCCATTGAGTCGGTTGATTTTGCTCCAGACAACTTTCATTGACGTATTTCTGTGAATTCTTTTCGAAAAAAGTTCGAAACTAAGTGCCTTCGATTTTCTTAATTCTTTCCTGAATAGAGCGTTGGCCTTTTTGTATAATAACACATGATCATGATCAGAAAACTCTTACAGCGGTGCCATAGATCCATTTTATTTTTCCTCAAAAACGAGAGCGTGTTGTTCCACCAAGGAACCATAGCTCGTTTAAAAGCCGTGCGAATCACTTTAGTCATAATGGCAGCATCATGGTTGCAGTTCCCGTTAAATGGCTTTGAATTCAGAAATGACTCGGCCGGTTTGGAGTAATTGATCCAATCCGCTTTATCTAGGAGGAATTTGGCCTGTTTTGCTGGAGTAGCAGAGGACATTGAAACTTTAAGATCGATTATGATTGGAAAGTGATCACTATTATGTAGATCATCAGAAATAGACCAGGAAACCAAAGGAAGAAGTAAGGGAGAGCAACATGATGAGTTGAAAAGTGCGTTGGTTTTCCATCATTAAAAATGCAGAGATTGCTTTGAATGAAGGCCTTCTCTAAAACAGTACCACGAGTGTTGTTCACTGTTGAACCCCAGATGGTATTCCAGCTGTTAAAGTCGCCGCATATAATTGATGGGGGGGAAAGAACGCAGAATAAATTGTAGAGTTCTTGCTGAGAAAACGATTGAGAAGGTTTGATATACAGCGAAAGCACTGTAAATTTTATGTTTAACATTATTTGTATCGCTACGGCTTGTATATTTGAGCTTAAATTTATGCGTTTGTGAGATATACTTGATTTTATAAAAACACCAGTTCCTTGTTTGCAATATAGATTTTGATCAGCATTCGTGAAGTATCCAGTATATGATTTGGGTGGAATAGGATTAAAAGTGGTCCTTCAATAGGTTTCTTGAAGCGATGTAAAGATTGGACTGAAATCACTTACGAGTGTACGGAAGTCCCTTAATATTCCATTGTAGAATTTTACAAAGTAGGAGTGGAAAGTAGGTTAAGTTGACATGTCAGCGTCTCCGTCGAAAATGTCACTGTAAGAATTTTGCGTGAATAATTTGTTCTTACCAGCAGAGTAATTTGAACAGTAGTTTTCTTAAGCTTAATCATATACACAATGATAAACAAATAAATAAATAAATATTAACATTTGAATTTTAAATATTAAAATATATATATGTGCACTATGAATCATCATTCTTCTTCTTTTCTTCTTCTTTTTCTGCGAGGCAGAAAACTAACACAATGATTTACCGGGTTAAGTAAAACAAAAATTATGTACTTAAGCATGAATTTGAAGAGCCTTACCAGGCTTGAGCATTGGAGACAAAATCGGATATTCAACACTTTTATGTATCAATTTAAACAGAACAATGCAGGACTCTTTAACAATAACGTACAAAATAAAAAACCAATGCTATATTTATGTGTAGCAATATAAATAGTTAGCCAAGAATCACTTACATCACCCTGGAAAATAGTTGCCAGCAAAATAATTCGAATTTGACTCTGTTTAAAAGTTAATGTTGCCAGATACGGAAATGTAAAGTCTAGTTAGCTTTTCTGATAAAACCGCTTGAAGTATAACATTGTTCACGTATATTGTAAAATTCTAACAAAGTAAATAAAAGATTATTGTTGAAATATAGTAAACACAACATTAAATCATTATTGAAAGTAAAAAAGAGGACAGGTATTTACTTTATAAAACCTTTAGAAAAATATTGTTCCTAAATTTAAAACTATATCTGTACATTCCTGTTCTTCTGCCTTGGATGACGTGTCGACTTGATTTCATAGCTTGGTGATATTTAAATATTAAAAAATGATTACGGATGTCCAATTGGCCATATTCTCCAACTTTCTAGGAGTTTTCCTGTTTCTACTGGTAGTGCTTTATCATTATATCAACGCGAATTCCAATGCGAAGTAAGTATTATTTATAAAGGTTATTTTTGTGCATGAAGGAAATTATTTACATCATTCTTCTAAAACTCTTACAGGCTCAGCTCGAAGAATAAATGATAAAAACAAAGATCTTAAGGTATATAAATATGCTTATTACTGTGTACATTATCATGATTGTAGAATATAATTCATTATAATGGAACTTCATCTAATGCTTTTTTTATTATATCCATATCTTCAAGAGTCCGATTGACATCTTTTTGGTATATATTTTGTTTTTGTAAGTGAAATGTTTTTTTCTTCTGCTGACCAAACGAAAATGTCTTCACATTATAATTTTTGCGTTGCTCCTCCCCTTCTTCAATTTGGCAAGTTGAATCACTGTGGGCATGCATCTTCGGATGCCTTGACATTGTCTTCAAGACAGATGTTTGGTTAAAACGAAAATTTCCAGGAAATTTATGATCTTTAATACAATGTTCTTTTCTCTGTGTCGGATTACGAAATTTCTCTTTGCATTCTTCTAAGAAGCACAGGTAAACGCTGTCTCCTCTTGTGACACGAGCTGCAAAAAAAAAATCGTGAACTTCACATATGTGCAAATCCAGTAAGTGTTCAGTAGGCAAAGACTTTTTGCATTCACGACATATGAAACGATGCATAGCATTGTAATGACTTTGATAAGACGATGTATTATCGAAAACTTCTTGACAGCTCATAACATTGCAGTAGATGCGATTTTCGGTATTTGCACTCAAATCATTTTCAGAATAGTCACTTCTCTCATGGCAAACCGCTCCAAGCTTTTTATATGATATCAAAAGGCATTTGTTACTTAGGTCGAATAGTGAACTATTATGCCCTTGAAAGCCTTCAACCATATGTGATATCAGTTCCCGAATTTCGCTAGAGCTCATCATGCTTACAGAAACTTGTTGGCAAGATTGATTATTGTGATATTCTGAAGTTTTTAACAAAAACATTTATAAGCAGAGTTGCATTTTTGGACTGAAACAACACTATTGAAAGACATATTTTGTTATATAAAGTTTTCGACATTTAATTCTTAAATCTGACATTATTAATGAATTACTAAACCTAATTTCAGTTAGAGAAAAAGCAAAGTTTAAATTACCGAAAGTATAATTATGTGGTTTTAAAAAGAATTACGTAAATATCAAAGAAGATTCTTATATTTTTTTTGGCGGACGGCCCTGTTATACTTCTTCTCAACAAAAGAAATTTTTGTTTATTTCAAAGTTCGTAATGGAAAAGAACATCGTCCACGTACATCTTACAAGAGTTTATTTTGTTCAACTTCAAAAAGAATTGCAAATGCTATGCACAATTTTTAACGGCCTCGCTCTACCATCAAGAATTGCTAATTTTGTCGTCCCTTTTATGACGAGAAAACTGATGTTTAGGTTTATCTATGGTTGAATTCTCCGCGAAAAGAAAAATTTAAACAACACAAACGGAGGATTCATATTCTCGTGATGAACGTGATAAGTAAACAATTTGCCCATTAACACGAATATTAATTTACTTCCTTCATCTAAAAATTTATATTCCAAGATTGCTTGTCCGAGAACGATTCTTCTACCTATCAACACAAGAGAGCATGCAGAAAAAAATCTTCTATCGTAGTATGTTCTTTTATTTTTTATTCCTTTTCGAATGAAGTTGTTCACATAAGTGTATAAGAAGAGAGAATAAATTTAAGCTACAAATTTTTCGGAAAATCATTTGTATGGTTAGTACCTACATTACTACTCCAGTTGCTGGCCGATAATTAAATTAGGCACATGAACGCAGCCAGATTTAATGATATTTATAGTTCCTGTGATGTCTCATTTTGCCATAATTGATGACATAGAAGAAAGTCATAGCCGCAACGGTTATTTGGAAAAATGGTGCGATACCAGCCCGCTTTGGTTGCACGTACTTATGTTGCCAACGCCACCAAGCGCGACTCATAGCTCCGGCTAAAGCGTTAGGGCTTTTATTACGACGGCTAAACCATGCACCTAATTCGCTTAATTTCACTTGTCCGAAAGGAGTATCGGCTATACGATTAAATATATTTGACTTGTTTCTATTGTTACATAATTTTCACTATGAAAACTCACGTTTCCCATAATATCGTGATGGATCATACGGTCCGTGTACTTTAGGATTATATTCAGCTGGGTAGTCACCGAAAGCCATTGTTCTATTAAAATATTGGAATTATTGTTTAAAATAGGATTTCTTTTTGATTGGAATGCTATAAAATAAAGTATTATCAAAGCACCCACCACTGTCAAATACAGACAAAAACCAATTCTATCAATTCTATCAGCGTTGAATATTCGGTTTCAATAAAATAACAGTTGCATAAATTGGTAAAGGAACAAATTATCATTCTTTTGAAACGTTTTGTTACATCCATGCAAAGAAAAAAAATAAACAGAGTGTATTTTAAATGATTATTTATATCAATTATATCTTGACACGTTACAAAATTTTACGTCACAGTATTTAGAATCTAATTAACACAGTTTTTTAAGCTAACTTTTAGCTATTTTATAGTGCGAAACAGGAACGAGGTTTCACCTGTTGAAGGAATTCGTTAAAAAGGGAGATGCATTTATTAGGAGCTTGCAAAAATTTTGATTATTTTTTCACTTGAAAAAGGCATTTATTGCGGAAGATTCGTGTAAGATATATTAATCAAAATAATTTCCATCATTTTCTACACCTCTGCAGCTCTTTACTACAATCTTTCTGGAAGCGTGGCGATACCGTGTCGAAAGAACTTATATTGGTCTGACAGAGATCCGCCCACCGACCTATTTTCGTACTTTTTCAACTTTGCGGATCCGCGTGCCAGGCAAGCCAAGCTGTTTTTAGGTTTTGAGTGCATTCCGCACAAGATATTTAGTTCAATGTCACGTTTTCTGATTCCACAGTTTGCTTGGGATTTCTTTGCTTTCTTTTTTGTTTTTGCGCACCCGACTTCTGCCTCTGTAGCCTTATTATTAAGAACTGCTTGAATATTAAAATTTCTTATTTTTTAGGGGGATGTGATTTATATTTGTACTTATAGGATTATTAGATAAAGATGGTTTTAAAATCATCAAGGATGGTCTGAGTTTTTAGGAGGTCAGAATTTATATAATAATTTAGTAAGGCGCTCTGACAATCTATCTTCCGCTTTAGCTAATTGTTTGCTTGCAACATTTGCCGAAGCTTGAGGTCTTTTTTTTGCATATTTTTTGAACTTGTTTTCAAATGATTTTCCTTTTATACTGTTTGCCTATGACCACTTGCATTGTTACGATTTTAATAGGGACCTGAAAATTTGATTTCTTTTCCGTACACTACGACGCTATGTTCAATCTTCACGTTGTATGACAAAAGAATGAAAATTCATTCTGAAATGAGGTGCATCTAATGGTTAGGACAGCCTGCGGAAATACGAATCAATTATAAGTTATTTTGGAAAACGGTTTAAACTGTACTGTCGTGTTGGATCTAGAATAATGTTTGTGATAGTTTTCTTTATAAATGGCCGTGAAACTTCTAAATCTATCAAGTAATCGCCAAAATGGTTGAATGCCCAACTATTTTTTTTTTTTTTGGTATGTTGAAACAGGGATGGACTAAGCCAATAGATTTGTGGCTTATATGTCCAAATAATAAATTGTTGTAATTTTTAGTCACGATTATATACAAACCGTAACAAAAAAATAAGAGCGGCCGTAATAACTGGAGTGAGTATGTTACATGTAATTGTGTGTGTGTGTGTGTGTGTGTGTGTGTGTGTGTAAGTGTGCTTGTTGAGTTCTTGAAAGTCAGACAGTGTTGCAAACTTTGGCTGAACCCAAAAAAAAAAGGAAAGAGGAGGAAAAAGAAAAATTCTAAAAGGATAAATTGGCTTTTCTAATAAAGCAAGTTAGTTCCCCGAGATGACGTATATTTTTTGCTGCAAAGAGATCGAGGAGACAGCCATATAACTTGAAGAAGCTAAAGGAATCTCTAATGCCGTCAAGCCTGTGACATCTGAAGATTAGATACTCAGCAGACTCAACAACATTGCAAATTTCACAAACATCACATGGTATAGCGCGAATCATTTTTAAATAAACTTTGTCATAAGTGTGACCACTCACGAGTCTATAAAGAATTTTGATTTCCCAGGAATTAAAGCAAGATACAGAGAAGGGTTTGAATTGAAGTGTGGGATTTAATTTATAGAAAAGACGATTGGATTTAACGCGCGCGATTACTTTAAATTCGTCGTTTAGCTGTTGAAGGATGTGGTTGCGAATTGCCCGAATTGCTTCATTGGGAGTATATTTGATGGACAAAATTGTTCCATCAACACGAGCTCTCCCTGCATGAAAGTCGGCTTTTACATTAAAAAAAAAGCCGCAGTGGCCAGGTACCCAAACGAGGTGACAGTCATCCACTTGAGATTCATGCAATATCTTGTGAATATCAAACACATATTGATTTTCTGCATCTCTTTTATTTATTAGAAGTAGAGCAGACCTGCTGTCGGAAAAAATAACAAAACGTCTGATACCATCGGAAATAGCAACCCTGATAGCATGTCGAATGGCGAGCAACTCAATAAAAGTAGAGGAAAGTTCCTCTACTTCTTTGACTCGGAGTATTGTTTCAGATAGATGTTTCACGACCGAGAAGCCAGATACATTATGTCGGACGGAACCGTCAGTGGCATATATATCATATCCGTTGTTGTAATAAGAAAGTAGCTTTTCTTGGCATAACAACCTTATACAAGAGAAGTTGACATTTTGTTTTGAGGTAGAGATTGTTTCGAGAATGTTCATGAAGACTCTGCATTCGCTGGTAATGAAATTCAAGGGGGGAATTGAATCTAATTTATCAAAAATATGACGAAGTTTTTGATAGCAAAAAGTATAGCTGCAAGGGACAGTGTCACTGAGAGATGTAATTTCCTGAAAAAAGGAAGGATTTATCATCTTGACTTTAATTAACTCCTTGGCAGTGCAAAAAAGGGCTCTTTCGGAAACCGGCCATTCACCAGATATAACATTGAGAATATGTTGAGGAGTTGAGGGGGTCAGTCCAGTACAATGCTTCAACATTCGGTTTTCAAATGCTTGTATACGTTTTTCAATATATTTTGGGAAATTGCAACATGTGGAATGTCCAAATTCAATTTTGGACCTGACTAGAGATTTGTAAACGGTCAAAGCGTTTTTGGGAGGCAAGCCTGCCTGATTGTTTGTCATGAGTTTGATGATGTTGCATCCAGACTGACAATCTTTGAACGCCTTTTCATAATGCCCACGAAAGGTTAAGCTGTCATTTAAAATTCTCCCAAGAAATCGAAGAGATTTTACCTGATTAACTTGGGTACCTTTGATAAGAAGTCTGATTTCACGTTTAGAACCTTTGGCAAAATAAATAGTGTTTGTCTTGCTGGGGTTAAAATATAAATTAAGATCAGCGCATGCATCGAAAAACAAGTTCTCTTTCATCGAGAGGTTATTGACAGCTGCTGAAAAAGATGAGTCCGCAGATACGATTAGAAAATCGTCTGCATATTGAAAAATGTGAGTTTTGTCATCTTGAAGATCATGCAAAGAAGCTGCGTATAAATTGAAGAGTATGGGGCTTAAACAACTGCCTTGTGGGATACCACCGCATATTTAAACTTTCTCGGTACCCATCACCAACACACGCTTGGACAAAAAATTAAGTATCCACAGCCGCATTTGAAGAGGAATCAAAAAGTTAAGGAGAATTCTACCAAGCTTAATCAAGTTAACACAGTCATAGGCTTTGCTAATGTCCAGGGAGAGCATGACAACCTTTTTCCCTGCTTTTTTTAAGCTGGCTATGAGAGAACACAGTTCATTAACGCACATATTCGTAGATTTGCGTTTTTGATAGGCGTAAGACCGAGCTGGAATAATGTTCTTAGTTTTCAGTAAAGCAGTTAGTCTCTCCTTAACCATGAGGTTGATGGTCTTTATGAATACAGATATTAGTGAAATTGGTCTGAAGCTACTTAAATCATTTAAGTCTTTACCTGGCTTGGGAATGGGAACTATTTTGATGCAACGCAAATCAGAGTGTATAAAGATGGTGGACCAGCAGTTGTTAATTGCATGCAAAAGAATGCTAAAGCTTCCTCCAGACAATGCTGTGAGCATGTCATACTTGACTCCATCACAACCTGCAGCGGTAGCTCTCTTTCTGGAATGTAAAACATACATTAGCTTATGCAAGGAAAAGGGTGTGTTACTGATACTGCTAACAGGAATTGAAGGCATTATAATAGGATTAACAATTGAACTGTAGCTCTTGAGCATATCTAAGTATTTTTTATTATCACGGTCATTCCATACAGCACAACCACTTAATTTTCGATTAGAATGTCGATGACCATTGATATAATTCCAGAAGGAACGTGGGTTGCCATTACCACATAACTCTTTAATAGCGATGGCTCTATGTGCCCCTTTCGCCTTTCTAACTGCAGACCTCCATTCTTTCAGTATTTTCGTATATTCAATATAGTTGGCTGGATTGGCATATTTACTCATTTTTTTTCTTGCAGCTTGGTATTTGCGGAAAAGTGTTGACAGGGAAGGATTCCACCAAGGTTTAGGTGAGAAGGACTCAATGTCAGGGAAGTTGGTTCTGGCAGACATGATCACAGACTGAAAGGCACTTTGAATTGATGATAAATCAGAAGGAAGATCAACTTTAGACAGACGGTCCATAAGGAAGTTGCGTGAAATGAAATTTTCTATTTTCTTAACGGAATTGTTACAACTGTGGCATAAAATGGGGGAGTGCTGACTTTGGCCAATGGAAACATTGGACGTGTTCCAGTTGAAAGATAAAATAGTTGAATTCGAAAAAGTTAGATCCAAGCCACTGCTCGCCGTGCGACCGCTCCGTTTACAGTGAAAGGTAGTATTGCCATTATTTAAGACACTGAAACTGCTGGAATTGATGGCATTTACAAGGATCTTGCCTTTGTTGGCCGAGACTTGATGGCCGTACAGGCGGTGTCTTGCATTGAAATCTCCAGCTAGAATCACATTTTGTTCACCGTCAAGAAAGTCGCATAATCTCTGAATCTCATCACGAAAGGTTCGCACATCGAGACTGGGTGGAAAGTAGCATGAGGCTATGAAAAGATTCGGTTTCAGGTTGATGGTTTTGATGATGATGATGTCAACGGCAGAGTTATAGGGAATACGTCTGAAATTGACACCTTTATTAACTAATATACTAACACCACCATAGCCATCATTTCGGCATTTGGTGGCTGAGGCATAATTCGAAACTTTAACTTTGAAACAATTTTCATCTTTCAGAAAAACTTCACTTAAGATACAAAAATCGATCTTGTTTGAGTTTAAGTAAAAATCTAGAAAAGATAAGTTACGTCGGACACTTTGAATATTATATTGTAAAAAGGATATCATGTTGAAACTTCAGAAAGAACCCCAGCGGATTTCCTCGCAATACTGGATGCTCGAACGGGGCAAGAAATAGCACAGACAGACATTTTTTCTTCAAATTCTTTAATAAGATTGTGTGGGATCATCGGACGGATACTTTCTTGAATCGCGTGAATTAATCTATCAAGTTCTGAACACCGCAAATAGTTGTTTGAAATTTTCGGTCCAAGAAGGCTTGTTCCAGACAACTTGGGGGGTGTATTGGGAGGAGGCTTGGTGGGTGAATTGATAAGAGATTTGGAGGGAACCAATTTCGTTTTGACGGCAGCATTGTATTATTTTTGGTTAAGATTTTGTTGGCATTTTGATTATCATCCTTGGTCGAAATTGCAGACGTGTTCCCCAGTGGAGGGAAATTGCCGTCATAAGTGTTGTCATCGAGACATTCGAAATAATTTTCGGAAAAATTCTCTTTGACCTCTTTATACGAAAGATTTTTAATCGCCATTATCCTGTTGATGTTTAATTCAATTTCCCTATTATGGCAACACTTATCGAGAGCGTTGTGCTCACCTGAGCCACAGGACAAGCACTTCATCGCCTCACAATTTACACACTTCGGCGACTTTCCACAGTTAAGGCACCTGCTCTCTTTAGCTTTGCAGAATTTAGATACGTGACCGTATCTGCCACACTTAAAGCACTGCTTTAAAGTGGGTACAAAGTATTCGACCGGCAGATTACAATAATTAAATTTTATTGCCTTAGGGAGGGCTCCCCCTTTGAAGCCAACTTTGATGCTGGTTGTGGGAATCCACTCGTCTTTGTTGTTGGAATTTCTTCTTTGAAAACGGACAGCGGACTTAATCGGAATATCGGATACGGCGTTTTTAATGATATCATCGACACTATATGTGCATGGGATGTTTCGAATAACCCCAAATCTTTCAGTGAACGACCTCGGTATGTACGCTTTTAAATTCTTTTTTATTAAATTCATTATTCATAACAAAATTTTTGGCATTGGCAGCGGAGCTGAAAAGAAGTTTGGCTCTACCCCTGCTGACAACTTTTAATTCTTTTAAGCCGTACATACCGAAATCCTTCAAGTAATCATAGAAATAGAGATTGGAGTTAATATTGATGCGATTCCCTTCTGCGTCTGCGCACGTTTCGACAAAAACGACGAAATTGCAGTTCGAAAGGCAATCGTACAAATTAATCTTGAGATTTGAGGCGGCTGTGGCACCCAAATCAGAGGGTTTGTCGGTAGCCTGTTTACTAGGCGGAATTAAAACGTTTGCGTTAGCCTCTCCGTTATCAGATAAAAGAATACTATTCTCACCCATTTTCGATCTCTTGGTGTGCCCAGTGGCGTTCATGTAAAAATTTTCAAAACAGTCTCTATTTGTAGTTATACGATCAGACCCAGTCTCCATATGGAGACGGGCTGATGTTGTTTTGGTTGTTATCACACGGAACGCAAAGAGAAAAAATCACAAAGAAAAAACAAAAAATAATAATTGAATATATGTGTTGCTTCTTAATTTTTCTCTCACGAGAGATTCCTCCTCCTTCCCTCCTTTTCCTTCTTTAAAATTGTTTTCTTTCGTTATTTTATTACTTTATTAAACCTCTTTTCCTCTTTTCAAATATTTAAAATCTCTTTTTTTTTTTCTTTTTTTTTTTCACTAACACCGTTAAACACAAAAATTATCCAGCTGCCGTTTGCGGAGATGACGTGTTGTGTCAAGTGTGAATGAAATGCGAATGGAATGTCCAACTAACAACTTAAATTCCCAGATCGTTTAATTTGCAAAGCCGCCAGCTTTATAAGTGAAAAAATTTGTTAAGGCAGCTTTATAAGTGCAAAAATCTGCTTTAAACATATTCATTGCAAAATAAAAAAAAATGAGAATTGCCGTCGGCATTTATAATAAATCAAATCAAATGAGCCACGCCCATAAGTAACAAAACAGAAGAAGGTTAAGACGACATAATTTTTTTCTTAATACATTATTGAAAATAATATTTCTCAATAATTTGTATAAAATTTTTACCCTGAGGTAGGAAAAATTAATATAATTGAGTTTTCGGTGAATTGATTGATAGTACATCTGCAAGCATACACATAAAAAAATGTACACCCAATTTGTTGAATTGTTGAATCTTGTTGAATCTTTGTTTTGCCGACGGCTTTGCATTTTAACATCGTTGAACGTGTTTTTTCTGTTAAGTTGGACAAAATTCTTTTTGGCGCTATCTTAGAATTTATTCTCTGGTTAAATTTATAATAATAATAATTTTACAAGTTAGCCTAAGTAGACCGCCATAATTTTTTTTTTATTATCAAATTAAACAAAACAGCAGCTAAATTTTCTGCTTATTTTTTAGAAAGAACTCTATGCTAATTTGCAAAGCCGTCGGCAAAAGTCCATCATTTTCATTAACAATTAACTCTAGAGCACAGGGCTGTTATTTTAGGTAAATCGATACAAAAAAAAAATGCAATTGTTAATAATAAGTATTTAATTGTTAAAAGTTAATAATTAGTATTTAATACTGGAAGTTTATTGTATTTATTGTATTACTGGACATTTAACAGACTGACAGCTGGGCATTTAACCATTTATTTATTATAAGCGACTCTGTCCTTTGCCTTTCAACAGGGAATTTAGCGACGGCTTTGTCTAATTTGATAATAAAAATTTCGCGTATTTTCCAAAACATCTAATGATTAAATTCTTATGACTAAATTAAATATTTTCTATATAAATATTACATGTTGCTGGAAACAACTCGTTTTGTTGTTATATATGCGTCATAAATAAATATGAATAAATTGATATTTGTTAAATTTTAATACTTTTATGTATACAAAAAACAACAATTTTAGTTATTCAGAGAATTATGCTACAAGTGTTTCTTGTGAAAAATTTCATGTAAACGTGTCAAATATATCCAAAATAAAAATATATCCAAATATATCCAATATACAAAATAAAAATGTTGCTGAGAGAATTTTTCTTAGCTTTTGTTTACTTTTATTAAAAAATGTATGTGCTTGTTCATTTTCAGACACAAGTCGGGTGGTTTTTGGTAATTTTGAGAGACATTGGTACTGGTTTTTGGTAATTTTGAGAGACATTGGTACAGATTTTTGGTAATCTTGGTTAATCAATTTTTATGCTACAGGTGTTTTTTCAAGGCAGAGGATTTGCAACATATTGAAAAGAACTCTGCGATGAACATATAATGGAGGGAAAAATAAGACAATTTAAATTCATTATAAACAAGAATAATAATAGAAAAAACATCATCTTTATTTCAACACAAAATGAAGGTTGGACACCACACGCTTGAATACTTATATATCCAAACATTGGTCGATTTCTCGCCATGACGACGCATTGCAAAAACCATCCAAGATTTGTTAGCTATCTCACTGTTGTTTTCAGCAAACATTGTTATTTCTCTCAAGCTTTTGGTTGCTGGGCTTTCATTCCGATAATGAAACTCAAAAACACATTAGAAAAGAATACTCTTTGTTTATTTCATTCCATGATTTTGCTACCAGTAGATTGACAAGCAATCAGCTGTAAAGCATATATATATATATATAAATATATTTGGTTGAAAAAGAGAAGATAATAGTTTGAAATTCATATAACTAAATAGCGTGCCAGTTGGAGAATGTATACAGAGATGTGCTTATACACTCGGTAATCGAAAAACACGTGCCATAGAAACATGAATAAAATAAAAACGTTGCGGGGAGAATTTTTCTGAGTTGTTGTTTATTTTCACAGAAACATCTTTTGTTTTGTAAACATTATTATACGGGATATTTATGAAAAACAAATCAAGGAACAATTATTGCCTATGTTACGGACTTCAGGAAAAAATAATAAAACCACGTACGCGTAAATACAACAATACAACTAGAAACATATGTTGAAACCATAAAGAAAAAAAAAAACGAACAGACAGTACAGCATAAATGGATAAATAATTTTTACCCTACGAGGAGGAACAGCATAGAATATAAGGCCTTCTCATATAAGGCCTTATTTCGATAAGTTGTGACCCGAAGAACTGTATAAAAGAAGTGATACAAACGTACAAATAATAAATAGATCGAGATGCAAATAAATGTTAAAATATTTTTCTAAAATCAAAAAATTTTTAATATTCGCCTTTTTATCATTATCATGAATTATTAACTTTTTTTTCCTTTTCTTAATCGCATGCAGTTACTATTTTCCATATATTAACACGCCGTCTGTCTACCACATAGCCATGAATACGTGATTTATATTATACTTTAGGACAACTTCTAGCTAATTTGATTTACAAAGAAGTGATGTAAACAAATATTGTAAAGTGATCATCTATGATTGAAATGGTTATTTTCTTAAAGTTGCCGGTAGGTTGGATAAACAAATTTAAACATTTTAAAATTTTTGTTTCAATAACGTAAAGTTCAATGCGTTCATTTATATATATTCTGGAAATATGAATAATTTGTCTGTGTTTATTGAAACTAGAAAATTGTTGAAACTCGTTACAGACTAATGATATTCGGATTATGTGTTAATAATAGATTGATCCGAAAATGGCTTTCGACTTATCCCAAAGGCATTTATGTTCCAGGAAACTAAGGGAAAACGCGGTGAACTAACTTGTTTAAAATAGTCTACTTTTTTAAAGGAATTTAAATATTTCAGTATAATTATCTTTTCTCGTTTATCACAAAATCATAGAAAATGGGAATAAGCTATTCCAGCTATTATAATATCACAATGCTACGGACGTAGAAATAATTAACTGCGAATGTATTTAAAGCCGGTCTGAAGTGGAAGTCTTCCATAAAGAATTTCTAATCAGTATAAATATCTGGAATTAATTGGGTAAAGAAGCCGTTTTAATTATTTGGAATATTTTGGTTTTCAGTTTCTATTTAGTAAATTCATGTTTAATTTCAGCTTTCTACAATTAATTCGATCTTACGATCATTTTCAATACTCAAAACAAGGAATAAATCGGACCAGAGTGTGATACTATTGGAAACGAAGCTCAAAGTCTCAGTTTCGTGCGTAAAAATCAGCGACAGAATTATCCTTCACAGGGGATCTTTATAGATCATAATGATCCACCTAACTTGCAATTCATTTGAAGGGCAATTTTTTGGACAATTGATCTTTTTTTGTTTCATTTTGAAGAGTTCGAAAGTTTATTACCTAAAACGTTAAAATAAAAGCATAACCAAACATTGAAATAAGAAATAAGGTTTGTCTAATACGTGGCAAAGACATTACCTGCAACGGTACTGGAATTTAAGCACAACAAGTTTTTTTAATAGCAGCATACAAAAAGGTTATCGACTTGCGTTCTGAGTAGTGCGTGTTTTGTTTTTCGTCTGCGATTTTTTAATTGTTTTCGGTGTTTTTCGGTGTTTTTGTGTGTTTAGCTCATGTGTTCTCTGTGCTTTTGCAAAAACTGATTGTCGCAGATACGATATTTGCGTTCTTTTTCTGTAAATATAATAAAAAAATATAAAAAAAAAAACAAAAGAAAAATAAAATATTGAAAACAATTGTCATTATCCTCAGCAGTTCCCAAACCTTTTCAAGTGAGTGGTTATTTCCTAATTTATTAAATAAGAGACAACCATAAGGCATAATGGCCCCGGGGCCGCCTGATATAAACTCAAATAGATTTCATCTATTAGCAAACGTATCCCCTCAAAGAAAAAAATTAAAAATTCCGAATTTCCGGTGTTGCCAATCAGTAGTATCGTTTCTATCGACAAAAAATATGTTGTGATTTCTCCAACTGATCCCTCCATAACAATTTCGCAATTCAGCCCTTTCGTAATTAAAAAAGCACTAGATTGCATTACAACGCATATAGACTCTATATCGATTTTACGCAATGGAAATTTACTTTTCCTGGCTGGGAATCCGAGCGCAACCGAAAAGCTCATAAAGTCTAAATCATTAGCCAATTTGTGCGCTATATCCCCTAAACTGCATGACAAACTGAACTCGGTTAAAGGCATAGTTTATGCTCCATGCTTAAAGCATGTGCCGGAAGATGAAATTGTGCGCGAAATGGGCAGTCAAGGAGTGACTGAAGTCTACAAATTCACCAAATTAAATGGCGATGGAAAAACCCGCTCTCCTACAGGGAGAATTATTTTGACTTTTGACCGCTGTCGGCTACCGGCAACGGTTGATGTAGCTTGGTACAAATGTAAAGTAGAAGTCTACATTACAAATCCCATGAGGTGTAAAAACTGCCAACGCCTGGGTCATATGGCAAAAAGATGCACAAGTCCTCCATTCTGTGCTAACTATGGTCTTTCTCCACAAGCTGAAAACTGTACGCGTAGCTTCTGCTTAAATTGCAACGATCAACACTCGGCGTTAGACAAACAATGCCCACGTTTTATACAAATGCGTGAAATTCTAAAAATCAAAACAGAAAATTACTGTAGCATGGGTGAAACGCGACGCAAATACCGGGAAATTAACCCATCTGGAACCCAAAAAACTAACAAAAGCAATACCTACGCTGTTGTCGCCTCGCAAATCGTGCCTAACAAGCCTTTAACTCCAACACCTTCCAATGAAAAACCTGTTCTACCATCAACCAAAAATTACATTGCCAAATCAGTTACATTGCCCGCCAAAGATAATATTGAAAAAATCAAAACAACAGCAAATATTGAAAAAATTAAAACAACAACACATATGCCAAAATTTAATAAAAAATATCCCCCAGAATCACCAGTTCTCAAGTCTACTCAACAAATTACAAGCCGTAATGAATCCAATCTTTCATCCCTCAATCCACCTTCAATTTCAAATTATTCACGTGTGCCCACTCGTTGCACTTCAAATGTACGCAAGCACCTAAGTTCAGATTAATCTGCTGGCAAGAACAAATTATTCACGCAAAACTCCTATGCGGACCCTTATGACGGAGACGGTGACATGTCAATTTAACCCACCTATCTGTGCGTTCACATGTCACTACAATTAAATAAAGTTTTTAAAATTTTGGAATGGAACATTAAGGGACTTATTAATAATTTTGATGAACTCATAAGTGATTTTAATCCAAGGAGTTGGTGTTTTTATAACGAAACAATAATCTTAAACATAAAATTTGCAGTGCTTTCGGCCTATATCCCACCTTCGCACTCGTTTTCTCAACAAGAGCTCTACAATTTATTCTCTGTATTTAGAACTTGAAATCGAATGGGAGGACACCTGGTCTAGACCACTTCTCCTACCAAATGATTAGTGCTCTGTCTAATTCAAGTAAAAAAAAATTACTGGACCTATATAATACACTATTTTTGACTGGCCATATGCCCTAAATGTGGAAACTGACCGCAGTTGTTCCAATTCCAAAGTCAAAAAAAGTCTCCATCGCATCGGATTGTCGCCCAATCTCTCTTTTATCTTGCCTCTCAAAGGTATTGGAAAAGATTACGGCATCTAGATTATTTTCGTTTCTTGAGTCCAAGAACTTGATAACAAAGCAACAAGTTGGTTTCAAGCGTGGTAGAGGATGCATTGACGCTCTTTTACGTATTGATTATTTTACAAGCAAAGCAATTTCCGAACCGAATAATGTTTCGGAAAAGCATTTGACAGAGTTGGTGTTTATGTTGTTTTAAGACTCTTGAAATCATGGAATATTGGACCCAAATTCTTCAACTACATCAAATCATTTGTAACGGCCGCGAACAAACCTTGGGTAGGGTGTCTGTCGGTCTGTATCAACCGCAAGCAGCGGAATAACGGCATGCCGTTAGACAAAATCATGTGATTTTGTGGTACCGCTAATAAATCGCATGATCTTGCGGGATATGTTTGTTTTATTCTTTTCTGTTTTCCTTGTTTACAAGTACAGGCAAATCGTATGATTTTGCGGTATTTTTGCTTGCTTTTGCAAGTACAAGCAGAATCGTATGATTTTGCGGTACTCCTTTTTTTCTTTGCTTTTGCAAGCATAGGCAAAAATCGTATGATTTTGCGGGATCTTTGCTTGCTTTTGTGAGAGTAGTGGCAAGCCGCTATAGAGAAAGCAACAGGAAGAAGAAGAGGGAAATTGAGTAAGAACGAGAAGTTTGTCTGTTTTTAATTTGAGTTGTGTCTTCAGTTTTATTAAAATAAAAAAAGGTTAAACGTTTTTGTGAACCAAAAAAAAAAAGAAAGAAAAAAAAGGAAGGAAAAAACTCCACCTTTAAGAAAAAATATTCTACATTGACATTAAGTGATGTTTTTTTGCTAAGCAGCTGTGTGACGACTTTACTTGGATTAAGCCATCCATCCGAGAAATATGTACATAAACGGAAAAAATTTATTTCCGGCTTCCATAGAATTAGTTTAAAAAAAAAAAGGGTTTCAATCAATTTATCCAAAAAAAAAAGTAATTGCAAGTTTTGATAAAATTGCATTATTCCTAAAATTACCTTGAACAAAACAAGCAAGCCAAGTGCATTTAATAAATTATAAAAAAAAAAATACTCCCATAATTTATGTAAATTTTCAATTCTGCCTTAATTCCATAAACAAATATGACATGTATAAACAAATGGTCGTGTAATCTTTATTAATTTTTCTTAATGTTAAGTTGTTGATTTCCATAAGAGATTCTTACCGAAATAAAAAGTTCAACGAAGTCAAATGATAAATAAAAATTGTTTTTATAAAAGAAAAAAAAGGTAAAAATAATGGCAGTATTTGTGCATTGTAAATAATATGCATACAAGTGTGAAAATGTCTTTTAATTAAAACGAAAAGAACAGAGCGAGAGGAAAAAAAAAAAGGAAGCAAATTTCTCCATGATGGTGTACGAATATACTTACTTTGCAAAACTGTTTGGCATGAATAAATAAGGCCAAATTCCCTTTCATACAATGTGAGGAGTTGAAGCAAGCATCAACCCCTTTGCAGCGAACAGGAGCCGCCGAAGGAAACGGTCACCGCCGCAGACTCTACACCGGCACCGGGTGGATTATATTGTAAGTTACTTTAGTTTGTTTACTTCCTTTTGTTTTGTGTCCCCGATGAGTAGCTAAGCGCTACAGCTGCCACCGCTGTAGCTGAAAGCAAAAAGGGGGGGTGTGCACATGATGCACATGTAGGGCAGACGCCAGACGACTACCGACTGACTTACAGTGGACAAACAGACGGTAGACAACCGACGGGACTTTTGTTTTTTTTGTTTTTATTCTTTGTCAGGAAAATATATCTACTCAACCGGCAATAAAAGTAGCGAGTCTCATGACACATTCATGTCGCATCGGCGGTTTAAAGTTACAATCACCTCTCTAATTCCTTTCCTAATGAATGACATTCCGCAAGGATGTCCTCCTTCTGTCGCGCTTTTCCAGATCGCCTTCAATGAAATTAGCAAAATTCTTTGCCGTATACCGAGAATCGAACATTGTCTCTACGCGGACGATGTATACATTTTTATAAAAGAAAAAGGTAGCACGAAGGCAATCAACACCCTCGAATCTATTGGACGAGAAATCTCCACATGGGCAAATTCGTCAGGGGCTAAAATTTCCATACAAAAATAAAAAAAAATGCACATTTGTCGAAAGCAGATATGCGATGCAGAAAATCTGCTGATGTATATGAATGGCTTACCAGTACTAAACGTGCAGACGCTGCATATTCTCGGGCTCAATTTTTCCAACAAGCATCGTTGGAAAGCGCACTGTCTTCGGTTAAAAAATTCTATTTTAACAAGGGTGAATTTCATACAGTACGTTGCTTGGAGAAGCCATGCGCATATTAACACTATTGCTTATCTTACCAAAATGCTTGTGTTAAGCAAGATTGACTATGCTTTGATAATTTATGGCAATAGCTGCAAATCTAATATCAACATCCTTAAGCCGGTCTATCACCAAGTCGTCAGAGCAAGTTGTTATGCTTTTCGGACGACGCCCATAAACAATATTATAATTGAAACTGGTCTCCCAACTTTCGAAAATAGACTGTATGAGTTAAAAGCTAAAATAGTCCCCAAGCTTCTTAATTCAAACAAATTTATTCTCGGTGATGACGTGAGGAAGATTATTATTGCGAAGAAAATCCAAAGTCACCATCTGCAATTGACTATTGTTTGGTGTTAAACCTCCTTGGATTTTGAAAGACTGCTCTTTTGACATCTCGC